TGTGTGTGTGTGGGGGGGGTGTTGGAAAGTAACTGAGCCGTTGTGTGTGTGTCTGGGCCCCATACTGTTTGCCTAATGCCTGCTGCGCGGTTGGCTTATGTGAATCTTTGGAATAACTGAGCCCTCAGCCCTGGCCAGAGCCCGTGTGTGTGTCCTGCAGAAGGCCTTCGGCATCCCGGGCTCTAGGTGAGCTTATGTCTCGCAGCTGGCTCAGATCTGTCAACACAGGCAAGTCCCGTCTCCTGCTAGCGCTCGCTGTGTGGACAGGCTCCATGTGGCTGGAGGATTTCCCTCGTCTCATGGGAGGTGGGCTTCTGCATCCCTGACCTGCCTTCTTCCCACCCCAGACTCTGAGACTGTGCCCTCTGCTCCCAGCCCCCAGAGGGGGCAGAGAGCTGACGGCTGTGGTGGCTTCAGAAACCTGGAATGGTCTAGAGTCAGTGTCCCATGGGTATTAAAGCATTAAGCCTACCTGTGTGCCTGGGAAGGGCAGCTGCTGTGTTGGGTCAGAGTGCCCCAGGCACAGGCCTGGCTGTCCCGCGAGGGTCAGCTGCACTGTGACGATGTGGGAGAACCCAATGACCTAGATTGGCTTCATTGTCCGTCGTCACCCACGTGCCAGGGGCTGTGCCAAATGCCTGCCCCTTGCTGCTGGTGGTGGGAGCACTCTCACCCTCCTCTGGGCTGCCTGCCCCCTCCACGTCTGGGCCCAGGAGGGACGAAGCAAACAGATCTTGGCAGGCCGGTATCAGGTGTGTGCCATACACTGTCCCCAGTCGGCTGGAGCCAGGGAGGAGGCACCTGGACTCTTCCTGAACCCTGCCTTCACCTTGGCAGCCGGCCCCTTCTGAAACCTGTCTTCCTTAAACCACCTCCCCGGTGGTGGTGATGGCACAGGGAACTCACGGTTGTTGGCAGGAGTGCAGGCCACTGCAGCCTCAGGAAGGCAGTGTGGCGGCGTCTGCCAGCAGCGAGGACAAGGACGTGCGTGCCTCCTGGAATCCGGGAATTCAGCAGATGCCCTCGGCAGGAAATACCACACGCTGCCAGTCTCTCCCTGCTTCCCCGTGGTTCCCGGTGTTCACCATTGCAAGTGTGAGCGTGTGTGTGGGCGGGGGGGGGGGGGTAGCTCATGGCGCAGATAGCCTGCAGCTGTGGATATCCAGGGGGGCGGAAGGAGCCTCTGTCCTATCTGTGCCCGTGTTTTCAAGTCGGGGTACAGCTCAGCGACAGCGTGCTGTTACTTGGGTTAAACAGGTGGGAAAGGCGACTGCGCGTGCCACCACGGGGTCTGGGGGCCAAGCCGCTGGGAACGGGATGGGAAGACCAGCCTCTCCCCGTATTTTATACTTTGATCCAGGGAAATACAAAGAAGTGGAAATGGACTTGGGCTCTTGAGCACGACGGGTGTTGATCCGTCTCCGCTTCGCTGGGTCTCCCGTGTGCCGGCTCTCTTTTCCGCCTGTCTCTGCTCCAAGCCGGGCTTTGTTCTGTCCCCCAGGAAGCCACGCCTTGAATGTCCTATAGGGCACCGGCCCTCACTTTGCCCGTCTGTCATCCCACGTACAGTTCAGATCTCCTGCCTGGGTCTGGGCCGTGTCCTGAGCTGCCTCTGTCACTTCCAGGAAGAGGGACAGAACCGGGTCTGCCTCCAGGGCAGCCCTGTCCTGCCTCGCTCCAGCCCTTGGGAGAAAGAAAGGGGGCCAGTTCCTTAGCCAGTGCCTCTGGCCTGACTCCACGCCCTCCGGGGCAGGCAGCTGATGCTACTGTCCCCAGGGAGCCTAAATCATCATTCTCCTGCTGGCATCTGGTCTCCCGTGCAGCAGACAGCGCTGTGCCTGGGGGCAGCCTCCACTTCTTGGCTTCTGGCCTCCTGGGTCCCCCATTCCTGGGTGCAGGGGGAGGCCCTGCGAGAGCACCACATCTCTGAAAAGGGAGACGAGAGAGGACACCTGACCACGCTCCTCGGAGGGCGGGCTGGGGGCTGTCTCCCTGCAGGTGCCGAGGGGTGTGGCTCGGGCCCAGGCCTGCTGGGGGCCGGTTCCTCGGCTGCTGGTTCGCGGGGACGTGGAAGGCAGGCTGCCCACTGGCAGAGCCGTGTTCCAGCCCCACTTCGCCGGCATTAGCAGTCGGGGTTGGGGAGGAAGGGGCTGTGCCACCGCCCCGAGCAACTGAGGCAGATGCGGCCCGCTTCTGTGTGGTGACAGGCGCCAGTGGGAATTGGGGGCCCTCAAGAGTTTAGGGGGTGAAAATGCAGATTTCCTTTGTCTTTCTGAGGAATAAAGTGGGAGCAAGCGGCGCGCGGGCTCCGAGCCGCGTGCGGCGCCTCTGTGCCGGCCTGCCAGCCCCCCGGCCCTGCGATGCTGCCGTGCGCGTCGCGCCGCGCCATGAAAAGCCCTGTTGTTCAGCCCCGCTCCCGGCCGGCCCGGGGCGGAGGGCGGGCCCGGCCTTCCTGGCCGCCATGTTAGCCTTCCGGGGCCAGAAGACGGGATCTCTTGTGAACCGCCACAATAAACTATTGCTCAGGGGAAGAGGAGTGGAAACGCTGACTTCACGTTGGCGCTCAAAGGGCCTCTTTCACCCGGCCGTCCCCCGGGCCGGGCCCTTGTGCTGGGGGACTTAGACCCCGACTGCTGCCCGGGGGTGTGTGCGCATGCGCGGGAAGAGGACCAGCCGCGGGAACTCAGCCCCTCCCAGAGCCCCGGAGGGCGAGGCAGCGCTGTGGGGGGATGCGCTCACACAGGTGTAGGGCTCCAAGCAGCGGTTCTCGCAGGTGGGACCCCGACTCGGAGTCGAGCTGAGCGCCTGGTGTTGCAGTGCGGCGTCCAGCGGCTGCCTGAGGCGCCGGCATCCCCGGATCCAAGCACCGGTTCGAGTCCCTGCTGCTCCACTTGCTGATCAGCTGTCTTGGCCCAAGTGCTTGAGTCCTTGCCACTGCCTGGGAGACCAGGGTGGAGCCCCAGGCTCCTGACGTCAGCCCGGCCGAGCCCAGGCCGTGGAGTGAACCAGCCGATGGAAGATGGCTGTCTCCCCAATAAATACAATAAATATCTCTTTTTAAATTGAATTGGGAGGAATGAGGCTCCTCCCTGAGGTCCCGGGGCATGTGACAGCAGCGATCCCCTCCCCCGCCGCTGGCCATGGGGAGCTGGCCTCTGCTGTCACAGAGCTCACACACAAGGTGCCCCTGCTGGCGAGGGGACCAGGCACATGGCCACTGTCCTGTGTGCGGAGAGAGACGAGAGGAGGTGGGGCCGCCTGGGCCCTCCTGGGGTCCTTGGGGCTGTGTCCAGCCAGGGGTGTGCGAGGGAGGGGCTGGCCGCTCCGAGCTCCAGCTCTGCTCCTATGTGTCTGCTCTGGGGTTTCAGGGGCCGCTCCTTCCTTCCCTTTTAGGGTCTGTTGTTAATGTCCATGGGCCATAAAGGAAAGAAGCTGCCTTTGCAGGTGGGAAGGCATCGCAGCCCTGACCCACTTCCTGTTTGCAGTGCTGGTCTGGAGCCATCAGCACTTCACTGCAGGGGTCCCTGAGATCCCTGTGCGCATGGAAAAAGCTTCTGTGGCCCCCTGCTTTCCAGAGTCAAGAGGCCAGCTGAGCGCCCAGCTTCTTGCCCAGTGTGGGAGTGCAGTGTGGCCCGGGGGCGGGGTCTGCCCTTCCTTCTTCCTCCTGTGCGTAGGAGTTCAAAGCTGAGGACGTAAAGGCCAGGCCAGTGGATGCGGGGGGGGGGGGGGGTAGCCCCCGCCAGAAACGGTTACGTGGCTGGCGTTTAATTTTTGCCACATGTGGGTTAGCATTAAAAAGGCTGCAGAGTAGAAGATGACCCAAATCCTTGGGCCCCTGCACCTGCATGGGAGACCCAGAAGAAGCTCCTGGCTTCAGATTGGCACAGCTCTGGTCATTGTAGCCATCTGGAGAGTGAACCAGCAGATGGAAGACCTCTCTCTCTCTTTCTCTCTCTGTAACTCTGACTTTCAAATAAATCTTTAAAAAACAAAAAGGCTGCAGAAACGAGGACTGATCTGCAGAGGCTTTTAACACACATAACCGCCTGAGGGACAGCCAACCTGACAGTGCCGCGGTAGACTGCTCGGCGCGGGTGACTGGGAAGAACAGGGCCGGGCACTGGGCCCAAGCACAGTCCGGTGGGTGCGCCCTCCACCCGCCACGGCCCTGCCTCTCCAGGGCAGGCGGTGCCGGGTTGGAGGTCCCCCTGGGCTCCGCAGGTTGTCTGCGGTGATGTTTGAGTGAGCGCCCTTTGCAGAGAAGGCCACACCATTTCCACCTGTGCCCCTTCGAGCAGGCTGTGTACAGCTTCCCGTGCCCCTCCCCAGGCTCTCAGATGCGGGGTTCGCCTCTGCTTAGGGTTGGGGGGACCCTCCTTGGCTGGGCACTGCAGGAACAGCAGCAGTGGCCTGGCCAGGGTCCCCATGAATTTACCAGTTGGTGTCCATTGCTGTGTAGCCAAACCTTGTTTAGAACTCAGACTCCTGGGGCCTGCGCTGTGGCACCACGGGTTAAACCTCCACCTGTGATGCTGCCATCCCATATGGGCACCAGTTCGAGTCCAGGCTGCTCCACTTCCAATGCAACTCCCTGCTGGAGTGCCTGGGAAAGCAGTGGAAGATGGCCCAAGTCCTTGGGCGCCTGCACTCACGTGGGAGACCCGGAGGAAGCTCCTGGGGCCAGCCCTGGTCATTTTGGCCATTTGGGGAGTGAACCAGCAGATGACAAATCAGCCTCTCTCTCTCTTTTTGTAACCCTTTTACATAAATAAAATCTTAAAAAAAAAAAACAAAAAACTCAGACACCTAACGGGCACAGGCCCCTTCCTCCCTGCAGGTGATGCACGGCCTGCTAATCAGGACACGGTTCCTCCCTTTCAAAAAAAAAAATGAAGCTAAAATGAGGTCCCCCCGTCCGCCGTGCCTGGGTGCTCCAGAGCGGCTTTTTCTCATCCCAGGCGGGTCTGTGGCTGACTGGCTTTTGTCTCCCATGTCCCCAGGTCCGGCACCGGTGGTGCGAGCTCATCGTGAGGCACAAGTTCACCGCGGCGTACGGGCAGGTGGAGCGCTTCCTCCAGGAGGACCAGGTGCGCCTCGTGAGCCGGCCGCGGGCTTCCTGGGGGGCCCCAAGCTCTCGGGCGGCGAGTTGGAAACATCTCCCAGTCATCCCAAAGGACCAGGGAGGCGCCTGCCTTGTGCCTGTTTGAGCTGTGTCCCACTAACACGGCAAGCGAGGCACCTCCGCAGCTCCCGTGGGGTGGTGCCCCGACTGTGCCCCGAGACGCGGTGGCTCGGAGCTCGCGGCAGCGGGGCTGTGACTGCAGGGCGTGCGTCGGCGGCCCCTGTGGCCTGGCTGCCATCTTCACTTCCCATGCTGCCCACCCCATGCTAGGTTTCCTTCCTTCTACAACTTTCCTGGGAGCCTGTGTGTGTGCATGTGTGTGCGCCTGTGGAGTGCATGTGGGGGTCGCCAGTCAGGCGCGCCCTGCCTGTGCCCACCACCTCCTCCCGGCCGGCGTGAGCCCTCAGGGGAGCCAGCTGTGCGGCCTGTGGGCTGGAGAGGGCGTTGGGGGGAACAAAAGGACTTTTGATGGGGTCTCGGGCTGGGGGGGGCAGCCGCCAGTAAGGACTCCTTATTCTCACAAAGGAAAACACGTGACTTGGTAGCAGAAGAAATGTCACATTTGCACAGTGGAGTGAGAGGTGTCGGGGAAAACACGGGCGCGTGAGGCCAGAGGCCCTGTCCGGGAGACCGGCGTTCCCTGGCAGCATGCTCCGAGCCGCGGTCTCCACCCGGCGTGGCTCAGCTTTCCCCCCGAGAGCACCTCGGAGCCCCTGACTGCTGGAGTTTCACCTAGTGCAATCCTTGACGTCCATCTTTCACTCGCCCCGTGGCTTATCTAAGCCTGCGAGGAGAGAGTAGCCAGGGCCAGTGGGGCCCCATGTCTGGGGCGTTGCTCCGTGTCTGCTGCAGCTGTGGCCCAGGCTGTGGTGGCAGCAGCTGCCACGCACTGTGGTCTTGTGGCTTTGGCCCGTGGGCGAGTTTGGGGATGACCGGGCACCAGCTGCTCTTAGGGACTCCTAGATCCATAGCCACATGCAGGCTTCCCGTGGTGGCTGTCTGGGGAGCCCGGTCCTCACTGTGGAAACACCCCCTTGTCCCTGTCGCCAGTGAGAGTACCAGGGTCCGTCGACAGAGTGGGTAGCCGAGGGTCCTGCGGGGTTTTGAGGAGGACGAGGTGATGAGGACCGCCAGGCAGCTCGCAGAAGCAGGGCCCGGGTCCCTCCCTGTGTCTGGGGATTTCTGAACCGGCGTGTGTGTGTGGCGTGCGCACGCACAGTTTCCTTGCTCTGACGCGCTGTGGCCTCCGCCCCACAGGCCATGGGCATCTACCTGTACGGGGAGCTGATGGTGAGCGAGGATGCCCGGCAGCAGCAGCTCGCCCGCAGGTGCTTCGAGCTGGCCAGGGGCCGCATGGACAAGTCCTCCGCGGAGGTGGTGGCCGAGATGCTGTTCTGAACAGGTGACTCCCCTCTCCTTCCCTGCCGTGTGGCTCTTAGCAGACAGTCCTGCTGGGGGCCAAGTCCTAGGTAAGCCCCCTGTGCGCCAGGACCACCGCACACACACACACAGAGCAGTCTCTTCCCGCTTGGCGGCCGGTGGCCTTGGGGAGCAGGCAGGGTGGGAACCGTGCTGGCCTGGGAGGTCCCCGTGCGGAAGAGCTCTGCTTGGTATCCTTGTGGCCACCCTGGGCGCTGTAATGGGCAGGGACACCTCAGAACACTGGTCCAGGCTGACACAGGAGGCTGTGGCCCGGCCACGCCGAACCCTGGCTGCGGCATGCAGGCTGGGGCGTCCAGCGCTCAGGGACACCCTCGGTGCACACCAGGCCTAGTCTTTGCCACATGCTTTCTCCCCTGGATTGGTCAAGCTGCTGCCTCTCTGAGTGGGGCCCGGGGCCAGCCTGGCAGGTGGACTTGCTAGAGTTCACTTTTCAGTGTGGGTTTGCAGACTGTCACAGTGAGGAAGCTCTGTGCACAGCCCTGGGGGTTGTACGTGTGTGTCTCCCCTAACGATTGTTGCCTGTCTGTGTCATGAGTCTGTTTTCAGGGCGGTAGACGCACCGCAGTGCCTCCTGTCTGGTTTTGTACCCTCCTACAAACCTCCGCGTCGCGGCCTGGGCGGGTGTTCACATTAGGTGGCTTCTCAGGGCGACTCCTGGGGCTGTGTAACAGTTTGTGGGGGTCTCAACCCAGCGCTGAACGGAGCCTCGTCCATCTGATGTGTGCCTGGAAACAACTGATGAGGAGGAATAACCCCATGGGGCAGACTCGTCCCGGGGTGGGGTGGGGTGGGGGCGGGGCTGGCTTCCCCGGGAGGGAGGAGAGTGGGGCTGGTCATGGCCACGGCCACGATGCCTGGGAGCGGGAACCCCCCAGCAGGCAGAGGCGTCGACTGCATCCCCGCCTCCGGTCGGAAACCTCTCTGTCCCTGTCCTTCCGGGAGGGCCCCTCTGGACCCATGCACAGGGAGGGGGCGCTTGTCCGAAGAGTTCCGGACAGCACGGCCGTCCCGCGATCTCCTGACTCCCGAGCCACCGCCGCCTCGCAGAGGCCGACTGGACGGGCCGGCGGCGTGGAAGGCGCGAGTGCGCGTGTGCGCGTGCGGACGGGGGCCGGGCAGGCGCTGCCCTCTGGTGCTCTGGCTGCTTGGGTTCCTGGCATGCTGATTTGTGACTTAAGATTAAAATCACATTGCCAGGGATTACCACGCAACCACGACCTTGGCTGCTCCTCCAGAGACCCGCAGTCGCGCTCTCCCTCTGCGGTCCGCGCCTCTCCTAGCTCTCTGGAGACCACAGAAGCCGACGGCCGCGGAAGCTGCTCGCCGGTCCTTTCATTAGGCCCAGCGACGACCTCTCTGACGAGGTGCAGAGCTTAGCTGATTGGTGAACAGTGATTGGTTTCCGCCTTGTTCACAGTGGCTAAGTTCTGCACCTGAAGAGAAGGTGAGATGGGCGCGGCCGCGGCCAGCGTCAGCCTGGGTGTGGAGCGCCGTGCGTCCATGCGTCCGTCCGTCCGTCCCGCAGGAGGAGGGCCGCCTGGCCTCCCGGGCAGCCAGCGGGGCTCCTGGGGGGGCTGGGTTCCTCTGCAGAACGTGAACTGAGCACGAGGACAGTCGCGTTGTATCGTCACAAATGCCGAGGGGAGGCCGGGCGGGCGCCCTGGCCGCTGGCCCCTGGCGGCCGGTGACCTCTCTTGTGCTTGCAGCCCAGGTGCCGCCGCCGCCCGCCGCCGCCGAGGCCCGCCTCTCCGGGCTGCCGATTGGACCCGCCCTCCGGTGCCTACTGAGCTGATATCAGTTCTCGTTTCACACACTGGCTCAGTTCAGCAGGAACAGGAGTGGAGCCCTCGAGCCAAAAGCCTCGCCGGCCCTCCGCGCCGCGGCCCCCCACGCGCTGGACCCCCGCCCGCGCCGGAAGAGGGGCCCGGGCGCCCGCAGCAGAGCCCGCGGCCGCGCCTCCACCTGTATGTGCTCCTGCGGTAGAGTGGACGCCCAGGGCCCGCGGGGCTAAGCGGGGTCTCTCTGGGGTCGGGGTGTGAGCGAGGCCCCCGCTGCTGTCTGCCGGCCGTAAGCCTGTGCCCAGGGTCCAGGGTCGTGAGACGGGCCCCGGCTGCCGCCCTGTCCCCAGTGCCAGTCCTCTCGCAGGAGCAGAGGTGGCCGGCGCTGCAGCCCTGGGCGCTGAACGTCACTGCTGTTTCCTTTGCAGGGAAGATGGCCGCGCCAGTCTCTCCTCCTCCTCCTCATAGCCCTGGCCGGGCCGGGATCCTGCTGACCTGGACGTCCCGGGCTTATCTGGGCCGCGCGGGGGCCGCCGGCGGTCTCGGGGCTGTCCCCCAACCCTAGCCACTGCACACAGCCGGGCCTGCGTGGGGAGCGGTCCCCGGGGTGCACACAGACCCACGCGCTACCTCATGGCGTCTCAGGGCTCACTCTGACCGCGTGTCCAGCGTGGAGATGTCTCCAGGGTGTTCAGTGTGGTTTTTTATTTTTGTGAAAAGTACCTGGGTGAGAACCTAAACTGTATTATTAATAAAAGTGAAATGGACTTGGCTTTTTGTTCCGGTTTGCTCCTGAACTTGGTACCTTGTGGAAATAAGGAAAAGCCCGTTGAAGTAGAAACGGCCCGGTCCTGGGGCTGCCGCCCTGCCCGGCTGCCTCCCTGGGAGCAAGGGGATCGGGCCCTCCCCTGAAACGGGAATGGGCTGCTGGGGGTGGGGGGAGGACGGATGATGTCTCCTTCCTTTCTAGTAAATGTTTCTTTAAAAAAAAAAAAAAAAACAAAGGCAGCGACTGGAAGCTTCCAGCCGAGCTTCCTGACCCTGACGAGGCCCTGGCCGGGAGCCGGGGCTCTGACTCGGGCTGTTTGAAGCGGGCGCCAGGCCGAGACCTTGGTCCTCAGACCCTGTCACTCCAGGGGCTCCGGGGGGTCGTCTCTGTGAGCGATGTGAGTGATCCGTGCGTGTCTGAAAAGGCTGCTCTCTCAAGATGGTGGATACACGTGGCCGCCTCCCCCGGCCCCCCTCCACGCCCTTGGCAGCAGGGGCCAGCCAGCCGGCCTCCTGGCCCCTTGGTTCCGTTGGGTTTGGTCCTGGTTTTCCAAGAAGTTAAAGCCACGCCTTTTTCTCTGGGAACCGCTAAGGCGTGGGCGGTTTTGTACAGAGTTCGCTCACCGCCTTGTTCCGGATCGAGGGCGCCCAGGCTCGCTCTGCCCCTTGGGCTGTGGCTGCTGGGGAGCGGCGGGCAGGGGAGGCTCCTCGGGCTGATGTCCCTGTGACGGCCGCGGCTGAGGCCGTGTGGGCTGCAGAGTGACACGGGAGCCCTGCCTGTGCTGGGGGCAGCTGGCACCCAGGCATGAGCGTGGCATGCATGGTGCAGCCTGATCCTCCCGGCCTGCGGAAGGCCTGGCACACAGGCCTCTGGGGTCCCCAGCGGTGCCAGTTGCCGTCACTTAGAGCTGAGAAAGACAGCGCCAGCTTGCCTTTCGTTCTGTTTTGTTGTCGGAGATCTACTGGGTCTAGCATTGTGGTGCAGCGGGTTAAGCCACTGCCTGTGACACTGGCATCCCACATGAGCACTGGTTTGAGTCCCGGACTCTCCATTTCTGACCCAGCTCCCTGCTAATGTGCTGGGACCCTTGCCACCCACGTGGAAGAACCCTGGCTCCCGGCTTCAACGCAGCTCTGGTTACTGTGGGTGTTTTGGGGGTGAACCAGCAGACAGGATGTCTTCCCCTCCTCCCTCCCTCCCCTCCTCTTCCCTCCCTCTTCCTCCCTCTCCCTCTCTTCTCTCTCTGTCCCCCTCCCACTCTGCTTTTCAAATGCATAGAATCTTGAAAAGATCTATTCGAAACATGGAATGATGGCCAGCGCCACGGCTCACTAGGCTAATCCTCCTCTGCAGCGCCAGCACCCCGGGTTCTAGTCCCGGTTGGGGCGCCGGTTCTGTCCTGGTTGCTCCTCTTCCAGTCCAGCTCTCTGCTGTGGCCCGGGAGTGCAGTGGAGGATGGCCCAAGTGGTTGGGCCCTGCACCCGCATGGGAGACCAGGAGGAAGCACCTGGCTCCTGGCTTCAGATCAGCGCAGCGCGCTGGCCGTGGCGGCCATTGGAGGGTGAACCAACGGAAGGAAGACCTTTCTCTCTGTCTCTAACTCTGCCTGTCAAAAAAATAAAGAAACATGGAATGACAAAAATCTGCCATTTCTTGGTTTACTTTCCAAATGCCCACAATAACCAGGGCTGGGCCAGGCTGACGCCAGGAGCCTGGAACCGCGTCTGGGTCTCCCGCACGGGTGGCAGGGCCCCGAGCACTCGGCCATCCTCTGCTGCCTCCCAGGTGCATCAGCAGGGCGCTGGGTGGGAAGCAGAGCAGCAGGACTGAACGAGAGCTCCAGTACGCGATGCGGGCATGGGAAGCGCCGCTCAACTCACTGCACCTGCAGCGCTGCTTTGACGCGACTCGGCTGGTTTTACAAAGTGGCCCCGTCCGTGGGGGGGCCCTGCCTGGCATCTGAGTGGAGGCACGCTGCAGGCTGCTGGCCACACGAGGCCTTGGTCTGGGTGGGGGTGTCCCAAGATGCACTGGTTCCTGTGCCTGGAGTGTGGTGAGGAGGTGGCTGTGTGGACCCCGGGCTCTGCGGTGGCTGAGGGCTGTCCCTGCACAGTGCGCCTTTTCACCAAGAACATTTGCTGAGACCTCGCATCCGGGTATCTGACCTGCCGCTCCGGGTCCGGTCTGCGGTTCAGGAGGGGCCTGCTCTGGGAAGGTTGGGACTTGAACCTGCTCCAGGTGCCCTGTGGAGGTTGGGCTCCGATTCTGTGTCTGGCCCGCGGCCCTGACCCCTGTGGAGGGCCCTCACGGAGGCCCCAGCTGCACCTGCCCCCCAGGCTGAGTGAGGGAGGAGGGGACAGGAACAGACCTGCCTGCCTACAGTAGGCTTCGTCCCCATGACTCTGGTCTGGCTGCAGAGGGGGGCCAGCGTCTTCCGCCTGTGTGTCAGTGTGGCCCTGAGATGGCCTCTGCCGCCGGTGCCTGGCCACCCAGGGCGCTGGGGCCGCCGGCCGCAGAGGTAGACGCGGTGGGGTCAGAGTGAGGTGCCTGTGGAGGGGCTGGGCTTGGTGGCCCGGGAGCAGGGGCAGCAATCAGCCAGGTCAGCCAAGTGTACGAGGGGAGCGAGAGGTTGCAGGGCTGTCCTGGGAGCCCGCTGGTCCATTAACTGCCAGGCCGCTCTGCTCCTCCCTGATGGGCTCCCCTGGTTCCAGGGGTGGGCCCTGCTGTGCACAGAAGCCCCTGGGCCGGGACCCCGCCCTGCACTGGGAGGACAGCCCCGGCTGCCTCCGCCCTGCTGGCCTGGGGAAGGAGCGGCGTGCGAGGGGAGCCGTGGACAGACACACAGCTCCAGCTGATAGCTCTTTCCCAGCTCCACCTGCCGCCATGGCACTGGGGCCGCTTAGCTGACCGGATGCTGTCCTGTAGTGCGTGGGCTGCCAGGCGGGCCCGTGGGGCCCCGGCGCGGGCAGCAGAGAGGGTGGTCCACGGCCCTGACCGTCCCATGTTCATGGAAAGGTCCCACCAAGGCCGGCAGCATTCCCGCATTCTCTCCTGCTTGGTTCAGCCAGCCTGGCGTCGGGCACAGGTCGAGTGTGAGGGCCTGTGGCCTGGCCCAGCTGCAGGCCTCACAGGAGGTAGCTGGGAGCAAAGCAAGGCCCTGGATATTGAGGGCACAAACGGCTGGGTGCCCCGCACCATCCGCCCCCACCTCCAGCCAGGGTGGACTGGCCATGCATGTCCCAGGTCCCCAAGGGCCCCCTGGATGGGGAGGCCAGCTCTAGCAAGGCCTCTGTCCACGGACCCCAAGACTGGGGCAAAACCAATGCCTGAGCTGAGCCGCCTCGCCCAAGGTTAGGTGTGGCTGCCGGTGCCCCCTGGGCAGTTCCTGGATGCCACGCTGAGAGCAGGGCATGGACGCCACATCCCTTTGGCCATGGGCTGCAGACAGCAACCCGGCCCTGGCTGCTGGGTGGCCCAGGTTCACGAGGCAGAGGTGGAGCGGCTATGGGGGGCCGGGTTTACGGGTCTCATCCAGCCCCATGGTGTTGTCCAGGAGATAAGTGGGGCCTTTCTGTTCCAGCCCGCCCACCAGACAGTGGAAAAGGGAGGGAGATGGCCAACGGCCGGGCCTAGGGTGGGATGCACCCAGAAAACCTGGATGAGCCGGCTCCTGCCAGGGAGGTGGAGGCCGGGCTACGGTGTCACTGGCTGTGACCTGAGCTGTGCGATGCACGCAGAAGAGCAGGTAGACGCCGTGGGGACTGCACATTTGCCATCTCCTGACCCTGCATGGAAACCCAGCACTGATCTCACGCTGTGGGGTGCGGTGTGAGATCAAAGGAGCCCAGGGGTTGGCTGCTTGGCGCTCCCACTCTGGAGGGCGGGGCGGGGTGCCCAGGGCCAGCCCGCGCCCCTGCGCCAAGCTCGCCGGGCCCTGGCTGTGCACGTACCACCCCCACCCCGCTGGATCCCACTGCGGCTCGCTGCCCACGGTGGGAACGCAGGCCCAGGACGTGCCTGCCTGCGGGGAGAGAGCTGTCCTGAAACTGCGCTTCTGCACAGCCAAGGTCCTGAGTTCTGGAAAGTTCCGTACCTCCCGACAGTCTGCCCCTTCCTCACAGGGTCTGGCAGAAGCAGCTCCGTTGAGCCCTGCATCCCAGGCCTTGGGCGCTCTCTGGGGTGTCGGTCAGGGTGCAGGGGAGGGAGGCTCAAGAAAAACTTGCGTTATGGACCAATCTGGAGAAGTGGGAGTTGATTTGAGTTTGCCAGTGGAATCACACTGCGCCGATGCTGGGGTGTCAAGAAAAAATCAGATAATTTAAGGGGAAGGAAGTGTACGGTGTTTTAAGATTTTATTTGAAAGGAAGAGTGACAGGGAGACACACACACACACACAGACACATCCTCCATCCACTTCACTCTCAGTGCCTGCATCAGCCAGGGCTGGGCCAGGAGCTCCATCTGCCACGTGGGTGACGGGCCCAGGCACTCGGGCCACCATCTGATGCCTGCCCAGGTGTGTGAAGCAGAACAGCTGGAACCTGAACCCGTGCTCCGATACGGGATGCCGACGTCGCGAGTGGCGGCCCTGGAATTGCATAGGGTTTTCTGTAACCTGAATGGCGTGTGGAGGAGGGGATGGCAGCATGACACCAGCAGGGCGCGCTCAGAATCACGGTGGCCGGCAGGGGGAGGTGGGGTCAGGGCCACATCCTCGGAGGGCACGGGCCTGGCATCTTTGGCAAGCTGTCTTTTTCTAGAAAATTCTGTGTCTAAAGCCAGGTGGTGAGTCGGTGAATACGCAGTAAGGCCCTGTGCTGAGTGAGGGGCAGGGGATACAGCCAGACGGCTCCCCTCAAAACCACAGTCGGCGCCGCCTGTCCCACTCCAAGCGCAGAGCAGTCCCCCCGCGCTCAGAACAGCCTTCCTGTATGTGTCGCCTGTTAGAACAGTGCAACGCTGTGTCAACAAAAGGTACCACCTTTCCACCCGGCGCCCGCAGGCAGTGCAGAGAGCCTACACGTCCCGCGTGTGCTCCCAGCACCTGAGGCACGGGCATGGGCACCGGCGGCTCGCGACTGTGGTTCAGGAACTAATGATGAGGAAAGAACCCGCGCGTCCAGTACAGGTTCAACTTCAAGTGTTTCTTGCAGCCTGCGGTCCAGAGCCCAGGGCTGCGCAGCGCACGTGGCTTCTCTCACTGATGGCCCCGTCTCAGGAACACAGAACTCCAAATGGGACACGGAGCTCTCGATCTCTTTCCTGCCTCTCCTCTGGCTCCCCCTCCCTCTTCCTTGGTTATCTCTGTCCCCAGCCCTCGTCAGCGACACGTGGCGGCAGCAGCAGGGTCTGTGTGGGGGACCTGTGGGGTCTGAAATGGAGGAGGTGGTCTCCACAGCTGGGGTTCTGTTACAGGATGAAAGGGTAGCTCATTTCTTTTAAATTCTTTATGCAGTGTTTTTCATTGCAGAGAAATATGCGTTAGAGCGAGCCTCCCGCCTGCATCGTTGGCAGTGGCACGCCCACCTCTCCAGGATGTAGGTCTTCACCTGCCCAAACACGCTCTGCCTGTCACAGGTGCACTCGGCGCTGCCAGCCCCAGCCCCCGGCAGCCATGCACACAGCCCGTCCTGCAGATTTGATTGAGCTGATTGTAGCGAAGTAACAAGAAGGGGCTGGCACCGTGGCAAACTCGGCCTGCAGCACCAGCGTCCCATATGGCCACAGGTTCGAGTCCCAGCTGCTCTTCTTCCCATCCAGCTCTCTGCTATGGTCTGGGAAAGCACAGAAAAATAGCTCCTGGCTCCTGGCCTTGGTTCGACCCAGCTCTAGCTGTTGTGGCCATTTGGAGAGTGAACCAGCAGGTGGAAGACCTTTCTCTCTCTTCTTCCCTCTCTGTAACTGTACCTTCGAAATAATCCTTAAAAAAATAATAATAGAGGGGCCAGCGCTGTGATGCAGTGGGTTAATGCCCTGGCCTGAAGCGCCGGCATCCCATATAGGCGCTGGTTGCATCCTGGCTGCTCCACTTCCAGTCCAGCTCTGCTATGACCTGGGAAAGCAGTAGAAGATGACCCAAGTCCTTGGGCCCCTGCACCCACGTTGGAGATCCGGAAGAAGCTCCTGGCTTCGGATCGGCACAGCTCTGGCTATTGCGGCCAACTGGGGAGTGAACCAGCAGATGGAAGACCTCTCCGTCTCTCTCTCTGCCTCTCCTTCTCTGTGAAACTCTTTCAAATAAATAAATAAATCTTTAAAAAAATAGAAGTATCAGGAAATGAAGTTGCAGAAAGGAAAGAGGTGGAGGCACAGCCACGCAAGGGCCCCCTCCTGGGCCTCCAGGGCGTCGGCCCCAGCAGCCGGGCCTTGCGTGGAGAAGCGGGTCTCTGGAGCCACTCCAGGCTGCGGGTCACTGGGAGGCTGCGCAGCTTTCTCCCTGTGCCGGCAGTGCACGGCTACTCGAGCGCGGGCGCCGAGGGCTCCACGCGCACCTCCCGCGTCTGTGTTCAGAAAGGGTCCCCAACCCTGGAGGCCCCAGGTGCAGCAGGAAGTGTGGCAGGGGCTGTGGGGAGGGGGTACCTCAGGCCCCCTTTCCGCCCCCAAGGGCCTGGGGCCTCTTTTCTGAAGTGACCCTACCCCACCCCCGCCCGGCCCCAGGCGCGGCTGTGGGTGTGGAGGCTGGGTGAGGCTCCGGCTTACGTGCAGGCCTGCACGCCAGACGAGCGGCAGCGTGCTTCAGATCAAAGATCAGAGAATTCTTTCCACGTCTGGGAGGAGGGAAATGTTGACTTCATAAGCTGCGTCTTGCTTTAGTCGCATGATCCACCGTCTCCCCAGGATGGCGCTGTCTTCCTCCTGTCCCCTTCTTCCTCCGCAGGGAGGGCTGCTGGGGGCTTCTCTGGAGAGCTCACGGTGCCGGGACAGACCCCCAGACACCAACATCTGGTTCAGTTCACTCTTCCCTGCTGACTGGGCTAGGAAGGAGAGCTCAGCTTTATTTCTCAGCACAGTCTTTTCCCTGTAGCCGGAAGGGCCTTTATCCTTTACCGTATGCTAAGTTCCTGGGCAGCTTCACTTAGCAAATGTGCCCCAGGCTGGGCGGGGTGGTGGTGGCTAAGAGCAGATGGCAAGTGCTGTGGGGTGGGGCACGCACGTTCCCAACGGACTGGATGTGGGGGTGAGAAGGGGAAGGCTGAGCAGTGGCGGACTTGGTCCGAGTCCCTGGCCAGACGGAGTCACCACCGCGTGCAGGTTGAGGACGGTGAGGCCCGGGGGGCAGCCCTGGCTGGCTGAAGCCCGAGGTGGACGTGGTTCTGCGAGCGGAGGCACCTGAGGGGCCGTGGCGTATCCGGGGCTGCAGCCCTGCGCACAGAGCTCTCCTGGCAGCCACAGGCAGCACAAGGCTGAGCCCTGGCCAGAGGCCAGGCACCCGCCAGGTAGAGGAGAGGCCTGGCATCCCAGCAGCCATGGGAAGGTGTCAGCAAGGTGAGGCCTGGGAACTGCTGACCAGACCGTCGTCAGGACGCAGGCTTCGGAGGCGCCGTCCCCGCGTGCTCTCCCACAGGAGTCCTGTGTGTCCAGCTCTGTTAGGGTGCGGGAAGCCCGACTGCTCTTCAACGTTGTTTCCATCCGGGAGGCCTCTCGGGAAGGAAGCACCCAGCGGTCCTGTAAGGTGCGTTTGGCAGCAAGGAGGTGTCTGGGGTGGGCGCTGCTGCTGCCCACCTGGGGCCAGGTGAGCTGAGGCTGTGGGCTGTGCCCCACGGTTGAGCCACGCGCTGAGGCAGGGTCCGGCTTACAGGAAAGCAGCAGGACAGCAGAACGCACGCCACCTGGTTTTTGCTGGCCTGCAGGCATTCCCGGGTCTCCCTGGTCACAGGGCCCTGGTCGCAGAGGATGGCCCAAGTCCTTGGGCCCCTGCACCTGCATGGGAGACCTGGAAGAAGCTCCTGGCTTTGCATCAGCCCAGCTATGGCCGCCGTTGCGGCCATCTGGGGAGTGAACCAGCAGATGAAAGACCCCTCTCTGTCTCTTCCCCCTCTTCTCTCTGCCTTTCAAATAAATAAATCTTAAAAAAAAAAGACAGTGTGGCTTTACGCCAGCTCCCTGTGGACTAAAAGCAGTACCGATAGCCATGGCCTGACCCCTACAAACCCACGTGGGAAGGGCTAAAGTCTCTGTACTGGCCAGTGCACTGGTCATGACCAGTGAACTGGCCCACAGACTCTGACTCGTTCAGATGTCACGCACTTTGGTTTAATGTCGCTAGGGAGGACATGGCTGTTCCCCCACCCGGCCTTTCCCTTAGTAGCGCTCTCGTTGATGGATGGGCCGAGTGGGTATCGGGAATGGCAGAGTCCAAGCCTGGGCCAAAGCCCTTGTCTCCTCATTTGTCAAGCAGATGCCAGCAGAACTTTTCATGATGCTTCCTGTTTGTTCTCCCAGCCCAAACAAGGAGCCTAAGAAAGCATTCCACCAATTGGTGGGTGGCCTGGGCAGGCCTGACCCTCCCACGGCGCCCACCCAAGCTGGCTCCTTATCAGACTTGCACACACAGCTCCTGAAGGAGCTCTCTGGCTAGTTTTCTTGACCCAGGGGCTTCGATGCAGAGCTGGTCCCATCTGTACAAGGTCCGGTCGAGAAAGCTGATGATCTCGTGGGCCGTCTCCTCCGTGCGTGCCACCTGCGGTGAGGGCAGAGGGGCAGGCCCGTGACGACATGCAGACAGCCACTGCTGTCCAGGGCACGCAGCATCACCACCACCACCCGCCCAGGACTCCTGGCAGCTCTACAGAAAGCACCGGGGGCCCTACGGGTTTTCGAGGGGGGCAGAGCCGCGCCCTGAGACCATCCTCCTGCATCGAGGTCCAGCTGCAAACAGCCTGCGACGCTCAGAGGCCAGGAGGAAGCAGGGCTCCAGGGCAGAGGCATTCCGGAACCCGGGTGCCAGCCTTGGATTACTTGCTGTGGGGAGCAAAGGCAGACGAGCAAGTCGTGGCTGGACTATCTGCACAAAGCTCACAGCAGCGTGAGAACTGGAACATGCTCCACTTCCACTCACAGCCTCATCTGCGGCATTTCTCGGCCAGCAACTGGCCACTTGTTTATAGGCACCCAAGGTTTTCACACCCAGTGCCTGCCAGGAGCCAGGAAGCACTGGCTAAACAAGCCTCGAGGCCCTCACCCTTGTTACTGCCCACAGTGTCCCAAAAACTTGGGTGGACAGAGAGGGAGAGTGAGAATCTCATAGGTTAACTGTGGCAGTTTTGGGCAGCGTAATCTACACGTCCGTTCTGTGGCAGCCACAAGTGCTTCAGCAGCCCACGGTCAGCTTCCTCTTGACCTCTGCGTTGGGCCCTCTGGTAGGCTGACCAGCTGCCCTGGTCTTCTTGGGACTAGGCCAGTGCAACCAGGCACTTGCTGTCCCTGGGCCTCTACCTTCTGACACCGCAAAGGGACACACTGTCGTCCCAATACTGAGTACGTGGCAGCAGGGACCTGGGGGCTAAGGACAGGTGACAAGGGGCAGCGTCCGCCTTCACTGCCCTAGCCCACAAGCTGGGCACAGGACAACAGCGTTGGTGATGGCCCGGGAGCCTGCGTGCTCTCTCCGGGGCTGTGCCCGGCAGTCAGGCACGGGTGCTGTGGACACCATCTGTCCTTCGAGGACGACACAATGCAAGCCTGCCTCAGACACCTTACAGGAGCTCATGTGCCGCTCAGAGACCGCGTGGTTTGGCGGTGCCCCCTGCAGAGGCTCAACTTGGCCCGGGCAGGGTCCATCCTCACTGGCTTGGCCGACGCCAGGCAGGGCCCGTCCTTGCTGGCCTTGGCCAGCAGCAGGAGCCAGGAGGAGCCGGAGCACTGCTCAGTGAGCGGCAGGGGCTCCATGAAGGCAGGGCCTCTGAGGTCTGCGTGCTGAGGAGCCCTGAAGGCCAAGCTAGAGAACAGCCCGCGGTGCCCACGGGGGCTCCTCTGATGCTGAGAGCCCAGACCGTGGCCTGTGCTGCCACAGGAAGGCCACGGGAGGCTGGAGTGGGAGCTGCCTGCAGTGGTGATGGCACGAGCGGTCAGCTCCACGCGGGCCCTGCAGGGCGGGCCCCTCTCCTTCAGAAAGCCAGCACAACTCCCACAGCTGGGTGCCATGCCAGGCAGAGAGCAGGGTGGTGGCCCTGCACAGGTCCTGAGCTGCCATCACAGCCGTGCCGGGGCCAGCCAGGGTTGTGAGCGTGGTGAGGCCCAAGGCCCTGGCCAAGCGCTGTCCCACCCTGGCAGCTCAGGGTTCTTCTTGGATGTTTGCAGGGGAGGTGCTGGGAGTGAGGGGAGCCGGGAGAGAGGCTGGGGCTGCATACACAGGATCCTCCCAGCTGTCTCTGTGTCTGGCTGCCCTCTGCCTGCTGTTGTGCCCACCACGGCAGAGTCTTCTCATTTCAAAACATCTGTGGGACGGCACTCAGAGGTGCTGTCATTGCTCAGCCCGGGGGCCGCGGGGGCCCGCCCCTCCTGCTGGGAGGCCAGAGCCTGAGGAGAAGTACTGGCCTGCCTGCCTTTCCCGGGTTCATCGTCTGTGTTCTTTGCAGCTGGAGCGGCTCAGGCAGGCAGTGGAGCGGACCGGGCTCTCAGAGCGCTGCAGGTGAGGCTCAGGTGAGCAGCGCCACACAGGAGCGCCTGCTGGCCGGAGGTGCTGCCGGCGCAGGACAGCGGGACGTGCACGCAGCACGAGTGTGGTCTGTGCTGAGCAGGGACCGCTGGCTCCGAGCAGGAAGATTCTCCCACAGCCACTTAGGAAAACCGCGGTTTACTTCAGTCTTGGAGGTTCGCGGGCACGGTGACTGTGGGCCCAGAGCTGGCGAGAACCTCATGCTGAGGCTGAGGGGGCACTGCCCCGTGTGGGGCACGCGAGACCTAGCCCTTCCTGTGGGCCCTGACAGGCGGCACTTCATTCTGCAGCCTGTTTTGCCGTCTGTGGAGGAAGGTGTTGCGGGCAACGTGTTAGGCTGGGGGCCATCCCTGCTGTCAGCCTCAGCGTCCCTTCGCTGGTGTTGGGGCAGCATCCAGGGACACACGCTGTTCACGGGCCAGGCCCTCGGACAGATTAACTGGCCCCTGCCCCTCTGACCTGGAGTGTTCAGGACGGGGACCGGGGAAGAGGGAGACTCACCAGGGCGACGGCTTCCCGCGCTACCGTGCGGCCTGCAGGAGCCCAGAGCAGGAAGTTCAGCAGGAGGCACCTGAGGAGCGCTGGGCAGGCGGCTGGACGAGGCTCTGCAGCCCCGCCCAGCCCGGCAGCCGCCTGCAGGTCCCTGGCCGAGAGGGTGGTGCTTCGGGACAGCTGCTGGAGGCGGCCGAGCGCCGCCTTCACCTCCACCTGGGAAATGAAATTCCTCAGACTCGGATCGGGCAGGGGCAGGACTTGCGTGCTTCTAGGATGTACTCAGTGCCTCTGTGCACGCCCAGGACAGGACCGGCGCCGAGGCTGGCCAGGGAGCGGCGGCCGTGGCGCGCGCGCTCTGCTCCACACAACCCAAATGGGCGTAATGGAAATTTCCTGACTTTCTTTCGTCTTGCTCACCAAGCAGCCAGGGCGCCATGCCAGGAACTGACCTTTTTTTTTTTTTTTTTGTATGAAAGGAAATGGAGAAAAGTCCTCAGCAGACTGTAGTCAGATTTTTTATATGGTGGGAAAAGAACAAAAGGCTCCTTGAAGGCTCGCCTCCCTATCGCAGCCACAAATCAATTACAGCCCCGTGCAGCCAGACCTCCGCTGCGCCAGTGTCTGATAAGAATGCAGGTCTGCCTTTTGCCTTCTGCCATCTTTGGGGACACACACACACTTGTTTTGTTTGGGACACTGGAACAGTCTGTTCGCACATGTTTAAAGCCCAAGCAGAGGTCACGCGTCTATGGAATCCACATAATAACAGCAATTGTTTTACGTCTGTGGGTTGTTTCTGCATAAAAAATATTTATTTCATGCCGAGACTCTGCTTGCTACAAGAATGGTGCATCAAGTTGTGACTTGGAAAAGGGCAAACACTGAAAGCCAGGGCCCAGAGTGCGGCACGGAACTCACGGGCAGCTACGCACCACCGTCTGTGAGAGAGTCCTTGGGCCTCTTCTGTGAATTCCCATGACCGATTTTATGGATTTGCTGAGAGTGGGTTTTTTTCCCTGGAAGTTGAGGCCTCAATTCAATGCAGTCTGTCATAAGCTGCAGTACACTAGGAGTGTTGTGTGAGCGCCTCGGACCACAACACGAGACCGTGAGAAACTGCACCAGGGGGCTCTTCCACGGAGCACAGCAGCGTTCCCACAGGCCGGGCCACCCTCTCGGCTGGGCCCAGGCTACACTCAGCTGATGCTATCTACGGGAGCCCACGGCTGTCTGCAGAGACGGCAGGGTCTGGGAGGCTAAGCCTTTACATCCACTTCCTTCTCCACTGGCTTCTGCCCTCTGCCCACAGCCAGCGCTCACGAAGCCTTGCTTGTCTTCCTTCTTTGGAAGCTCCTCTGATCTTTCTGCTTTTCCTATTTTGTCCCAGACGGGCCTTCCCCTCAAATGCCTTCCAAGTGCAAAGACTCTGACTTGACATGCCGACAACTAAACGTGCTCTGAGTTTCACAGGACAAAGAGAAGCTTGCTTTCAGTTTTTAAAACAGTATTTTTTAAACTTGAGTTATAAATCTTTCTGTGCTCACAAGAAAAATGTTAATGATCTATATAACTCTACCATCCACTGTAGATAACTAGCTTTATATCCTTTTTGCCTTTTTTCTTTTTGAACATAATTTTCATTTATTTATTTGAAAGGCACAGAGAGAGAGAGAGAGAGAGAGAAAACAAACCAGAGTATTCTCCTTCCCACTGGTTCACTCCCCGTATGCCCATAACAGCCAGGTTAGGCTGGGCCAAGCCAGGAGCTGAGTTCAATCCAGGTCTCCCACAGGAGCCATCACTGCTGACTGCCCGGGTCTGCACCAGCGTGCAGCCCCAGGTAGGAGCTGGGGTGCATTCTGATATGGGATGCAGGGGTCCTGACTGCCACATCAGACAGCTACCCCTTCTTGTCCTTTTTTCTGTGCACTGAGAGCAAACCACACACTCTATCGGGGCACTCCAAAAAGCTCATGGAAAAATGAAATTAAAAGATCAGACTACTGTGGTACTAAACTTTTGAGATCCATCCATGCGTAGTTTTTTTGAAGTATGTATTTTCCATGAACTTTTTGAAGACCCCTCACATACAATGTTCTGTGTCTTACACTTTTCTCTTCCCAATATACTGTAAACAGTTTACTGTTTCTGTAAAACATGTTCTTCAGTAACATGGTTTTCTTGGTAGAATGCTACCCCATGGTAGGATCTAGCACAATTTAGCCAACAGTCTTACTATTGCAAGTTTAGGCCATTTCCCATTTGTGCAGTGCATAAACAACACTGTGACAAACATTCTTGTACATGAGTATTTTTATGGATCCTTTTTCCCTCAGGTTAATTCCTAGAAGTAAAAATATGAACCCTTACCTAACTAAGTCTTAAGAGTATATAAGGGGGGCCGGTGCTGTGGCACAGTGGGTTAACGCCTTGGCCTGAAGCACCAGCATCCCATATGGGTGCTAGTTCGAGACCTGGCTGCTCCACTTCCAATCCAGCTCTCTGCTATGGCCTGGGAAAGCAGTGGAAGATGGCCCAAGCCCTTGGGCCCCTGTACCGTGTGGGAGACCCGGAAGATCTTGGCTTTGGATCGCCACAGCTCCAGCCATTGTAGCCAATTGGGGAGTGAACCAGTGGATGGAAGACCTCTCTCTCTCTCTCTCTCTCTTTCTGCCTTTCCTCTCTCTGTGTAACTCTGAATTTCAAATAAATAAATAAATATTTTTTAAAAAGAGCATATAAGGGAGCAGCATAGTGGTGTAGCCGGTTAAGCCACTGCCTGCGGTGCTGCCATCCCATAAGAGGGCTACTCCACTTCCCATCTAGCTCCCTGCTAATGTGCCTGGGAAAGCATGGGAAGATGGCCCAAGTGCTTGGGTTCCTGTACCCATATGGGAAACCCAGAAGAGGCTCTTGGCTCCTGGCTTTGGACTGGCCCCGCTCTGGCCATTTGGGGAGTGAACCAGTGGATGTTTCTCTCTCTCTCTAACTCTGCCTTTCAAATAAAATAAGCAAATCTTTAAAAAAAAGCAAAGGGTATATCTACACATAGACTGTTTCTGGTTTTCATCATGATCCAGTTCAGTGAACACTGGCAGGCACAGGAGGTTGTAGGCAGGGAGAGGGCCAATCTTCACACAGTTGTCAGGACACGTGTGTTCTTGGCCTTCCTGTTTGCACTCCCAGGACAGCCAGAGCACCAGGGGAGCTAAGGGACGAGCCTGACTGAATCCTGCCTTTTCCGTGCAGCATGGGCATGGATGCCGTCAGGGTTCATAGCACTCTCAACAACCCTGCTTTAACAGTTCACGTTCTGTTTCTCAAGTCACCCGCCAGAACATCAAGGCATCCAGGCTCATAAAATCCAGGGGAGCGAGAGATCTACTGGGTGAACTAGGACAGCCCCTCCCCCCAGGACGTCACATACACGCTTGCCCGGTCAGATGCTGGGGAGGAGGGGTTTGAAATCACTAATACGAAGGCTGGCTCCACTCACAAGGCAGATGGCTACTCTGCAGAAGAGCTGAGAAGTAATGGACAGATGGCACCAAGCTATGCTGAACAGGTTAACCCATTTTTATCCAAGATGCCTAAGCATTTCCTGAATAAGAACTACCACATGAGTTTTATATAAATAAACATTAGCTAATGAGGAACTTTCTAGAAAGTAAATCTTATTGGACAGTTTATTTCTCTATACTTCCAAAGTGAATCTCTCTCTGTCAGTGTCTGTGTCAGTGTGGAATTTAACACACACCTAGCAACTCTGTTTACACAGAGGCAGATAGGAAATCCACACAGAAGGGCTTCAGAAATCACAAGTGCGTCAACTTCATGATTAGTATTGTTAAAAATAAGACGAAAGACATAAACCAGGGCTTTCCCTAATTAGTTCCATGTGGTTTTTAAAGGGAAGAAACAAATTTTTCTTCTTAATCAAATAGCAATCCTCAAATATATATGTAGATTATGATAATTTCTAAGAAATGTTTTGGGGCCAGTGTCGTGGCATAGCAGGTAAAGCTGCTGCCTGCAATGCCGGTATCCCATATGGACACCTGTTTGTGTCCCGGCCGCTCTACTTCCAATCCAGCTCCCTGCTAATGGCCTGGGACAAAACAGCGGGAGACGGCCCAAGTGTTTGGGCCCCTGCACCCACGTGGAAGATCTGGATGAAGCTCCTGGCTCCTGGCTTCAGCCTGGCACAGCTCTGGCCGTTGTGGCCATCTGGGAAGTAAACCAGTGGATGAAGACCTCGCTCTCTCTCCTGTCTCTCCCCTCTGACTTTCAAATAAACAAGGAATATTTACATTAAAAAAAAGTTTTGTTTCTGATCCCAAATAATCACCAAATTTCAACTTTTAAAAATCCAAATATTTTTCCTTTCCCCTGCCATGCAAGCCTTTAAGCAAACGAAACATACAGACAGAAAATACAAACCAAATAGAAGCCTTGTACATGATAATGAAACCTGTTCCCTTTCAATATTAAAATCAGCAAAACGCACTGACAGTTAAGTTTGAAAAACCAGCTAGCAGATGTCCGCAAGGGAGGTGCCAGTGCCTTTGCTCCGAGCACGGCCTCCAGGAACCACTGTGTTCTGCACGGAACGGCTGTCTCTGCCACAGATGCCGGCCCTGCACGTGCCTGCTCTGTGTTTAGGAAGTGGCCAAGCCGTTTTTCAGAAGCTCAGTGGTTAGCATCATGTGTCTGCTCGAGTAAGGGGTCTACACACAGCTGGTCACGTGAGCATCTGTCGACTGCTCTGAGGAAGCAGTACGTCAGGAGGCAGCCCCGGCTGGCCAGAGACCCAGGCTGTGCCGCAGGACAGTGCTCTTCAGAGGAGCCGTCCGTGCCTGCGTGGCATCCCCTGGAGGACCAGGACGGGGCCCGTGCGGTGGTCAACAGGGGCAGACTGGATTCCTGAGCAGAGTCAGACCAGAGGAGCCCAGGACAGGGGGCTGTACCTCCCTCCTCGGTGCTCCCGGCCGCCTGTCTCCAGCCTACTCTGTGGACTGTAAGCCCGGGCCCGTGTACTTGATCTCCAAGGCCCTCTGCATGTGGCCGTACCTGACAGCATGAATGCCACAGCTCACATACCTAGGGAGTCAGTGACAGGCAAACCCTCTGAGTCCCTCCCTGTGCCACTAGAGCGCCCAGCCCTGGGCACGCACAGGGGACCTGCTACCTACCGTGGTCTGTGCCCTCTGCCGACTCCCGTCACAGGGGCTGTGGTAGAAGGCCAGGAGCCACAGGACGGCCTCAGCGGGCTCAGCTTCTGACCTCAGCAAGTGCTCGGCCGCCATGTCAGCCCATCCTCCAAAGTGGGTGAACAAAAACCAGCTCTCCAAGGGTCCTCCGAGAGACCTGGAACAAAGCCAAGACACATGGCAGCGGGGCCGCCTGGCCGCTTTTGCCTTTAGGTTCTTTACCGTGTGTGAGCGCTCAGGTTAAATTGTACTTGACCCACTGAAACATGGCTTACAGAGCACGCACGTTCGACTGAAAGCCGGCCTGCGGCCACTCCTAACCCAGCAAGGCGCAGTGAAAAGGAGAGCTCTCGGAAAGACCCGGCGTGTCGCGAGATTTCAGACACTTGCAGCTTTACCTCCCGGTACGTGAAGGGAGCACAGGCTTTGGGAGAGGAAGACCTGGGCCCGTGGCCAACCAAAGTGCAGGACGAGAGCCTGCAGCACGGCCCTGCTCCTGCATGGCCTGCACAGCTGCACTGTGGAGGAAAATCGGGCCTCCCAGCCACCAAGGCGCCACCCAGGTAGCTCCAGAGCCAGAGGGTGCGCACAGAGGCCCCGTGGGGCCCAGCAGACTGGGCTCTGCCCTCAGGACAAAGGTGCTGTTTCCTTTCTGGAGAGACGCATGGTGCTGGTTGATATTTCAGCAAAGTAATTAATTCTGCACGTGCCGTGTATCATATGAGGGCACTTCCAAAAATATACAGAAAAATGGAATTGTAGAAGTTTATTTTGGTGCAAAATATTTGTGATCTGTACACAGCTTTTTTTATTATGTGTTTGCCACATATGCACACATCTAAAAACTTCTGCATCAAAATAAACTCATTTTCTAACTCCATTTTCCACGAGGGTTCTGAATGGCCCACGCACTCTCGCCTGTAACCGCATACGCATCAACGCTGAAAGGCGAGGGTTCTTCTCGTCACGCTGGGGACTGAAAGTTGCAGGATGTGTTAAAGGGCACCATCTGCTCAAGGTAAGGACCCCCAGGGAAAACAGAGCGGTTAGAGGAGAACCCTCCTCCTGGACTAGAGCACGTGGCTGGGCCAGGAGTGCGCCAAGCCGGAACAGGAATGTCTCTGAGGGACCTGCTCGCGTGCTCCTCTGGGATTCACACCTCAGCGCTGGCCTCACTTCACGGAGGACGAGTGATTACACTGAGCATGCACGATGACAGAGGAAGCAAGGGAGGAAGGGAGGAAGGGAGGGTGCCCCCACCCCATCCCTCGTCCCGGGAAGGGAGAGCCCATGTTCCTGGCCATGCTGCAGGTGGTGGTACAAGGGTGTCTGAGGGAGGAGAGGCTCTGCCTGCCTCTCCCTGCTCCTGCACACCAGCACCTGCAACCCGCCCAGACAGGCCTGGGCCTTCTCTCTTTTCTGCGAGCGACCGAGTATGTCCGCCCTCCCCTCACAGAGACGGCACGTCGGGGTACTCTGGCTGGGCTCGGGGAAGCGGCCACACAGCTCTCCGGGGAAACGTGGCAGAAGCAGCACAGGAGCCGGCTGCAGGGCTGATCCGGACAAGGAACAGCAAATCATGCACACTCCAAACGCTGGCCTAGCAGGAAGCCCAGGAGCGCTGTGTTACAAAGCCTAAACGGGAATGCTTTGAGAAAAATCATGTGTAAGAGAGTACCTAGTACCATAATGTCAGAAATTCTTTACACTGGGGTGAAGTAACTGCAGAGCTAACACCCAACACGCCACAGTCCTTCCTGCCGTGGGGGAGCTCCCGCTCTCCTTGCCTGGAAAGGCAGGGGGCAGAGCACACGACCGCGTGCCCTTTCTAATCTGCAGGGCCCGGGGCTCCCAGCAGTGGGCAGTGCTTCTGTCTGGGGTCCTTTTTCTTCTCTATTGTTAGGCCTGCATCTTTCTCCTAAACTCAGGCATCACTGAGAAGGGTCTCCCTCGTGGCACTCACATGATGGCTGGCACAATGATTCTGCCCACCCAAAGCCATCCTGCAGCCACACTTGCTCCACTTCTCTCTTGGTGCTGGTGCACACCTGCAGATGTGTGTGTGTGTGTGTGCACGCATGCCAGGGACCACATTGCTGTTGCCTGTCAGCCCTGCCCAAAGGGAAGATGAGGATCGAGGGAAACCCCGTGTGAGGTGGCCCAGGAATGGCCAGGGTTGCTCACCTCTGCGTCTGGTCTTCCATCAGCTGCCTGAGCAGTTGAGATCCATGCTCCAGCAGCTGGCGCCAGTGTTCCTCTGGGGCACCTGCAGGGGGAGGGGAAAGGAGGGGGCACTGAGGCGGAGCCCCACCTTCTGGGATCCATCTGCAGCTGGGCCTGGCAGCTTGGGGAAATGCCCTGCCCCTGGTCCAGGGGTCCACCCACTGCTTCCATCTTTCCCAGCCAGGCTCCCTGTGCTGCCTGGGGCCAGATGCCCACACTAAGCTGGGGCGCAGCCCGTGCCTGGCTGCCCTGTGTCTGCGCTCCTACCTGCCCTGCCCTCAGACCTCACTCACAACAGGGGGTTTCAAAACACACGGAGACTGCAGCAACAGCCTGCTAGGAGTGCGATGGAGTCAGGTTTACGGTAATGAAGAGGCCGGGGGAACATACAGGGGCCTCATACAGATGTCTTTTCTTGAGTTAGTTTCTCTGCTGTCACAATTATCCCGAGGTCTTAAAACACATCTGGGCAGGCAGAGATGTGTGCAGTTGGAAGCCACGTCTGACAACAGATTCTGCGGTCAGGGACGACGGCGCATGGGGTGCAGGGGCCACACATGGTCTCCCCGAACGTGGCCTGAAGCGTAACGCACGGCCTCAAAGCATTCTTCATTGTCTTGTTCAGCTGCTGGACGCTCAGGTCTCGCGCCCTCCGGGATTTCACAACTGGCACAAAATAATAAGCTCGTGATGAGCAGAAGACGGCACTGCTCAGAACACTCTCGGGGTGCAGGCGGGGCTCTGCGGCGAGCACGGGAGCCTCCGTGCCTGCGCCGCCGCTGGTTGGCTCAGGGGCAGGAGTCGAGGCAATCCCACAGGGGAAGGTGGACAGGCTGCATGCCTGTCCACAGAGTGCCCTGGTCTTGACCACAGGTTTCCAGGCGTACAGAATCACACCTCCAATCTGTTTTCTGGACTCGGATGGCTCTGTGTAGGCCGGCTGCGGGCGCCCCTGGTCTGCTCTACACCCAGGCAGCCCCTGGCTCTCCTGCCTTGTTACTAAAGTCCTCCTGTTGTGTCCCCACAGGGGGACCTTCACAAACCCCACCACGGCCATCACCACCCCACCTCTTGCATCTGAGAGGCTGGGGTCAGAGGGGTGATGGCTGGGCAAAAGCCTCCATCTTCCAGCCAAAGGAAGAGAAATGTGGAAAACATTCTGCAACTGAACTGTCTGCTCTCCCCAGATGAATCCCCTCACTCGCGTCTGTCTCAGGAAAACAGAAGGCCAAAAATGACCTGTGGCTGGCACTTTGCCTCTCACCCGGCCTCTGCTTCCCTGGCCAGACAAGACTCCTGCTGGGTGTGCAGCCTGTGCCGCGTGCCAGACTCTAGGGAAGCGGCCTTGTTCCCTGTTCAGGTGTCCCCCAAACAGGAGTGCACAGGGTGTCCACGGGTCGGCAACCTTGGGGTGAGGGACGCGGCCTCTGCAAGGCGCCTGTGGTCATGCATACCACTGAATTCTCTCAGACCCTTCCCCTGGCTGGCTTAGGAGAAATTTCCCCTAAAATTCCTGGCTCCATCCATCACTTTATCTGTCCTGCAACGAGGTGGCATGAGGCAGAAAGAATGAAAAACAAACAAGCGTGCTCCTCTGACTCAGACGGGGCTCGGCCGCTGCGGGCACCTGGGCGGAGCTGGCCGGCACAGCAGGGCCTGCTATCTGGGGGCAGGCCATCGACCCTGCAGCGGGGGCCGTGCGCCTGTGTCTTGTTCCCCTCCTGTTGCTACGTGATCGCGCTGCAGTCAGGCAGATTCTCCTACCAGAGCCCACGGGATGGGAGACCCTGAGACCAACAACCCCCTTCTTTGCTCCCGGGGACAGACACGGAGGTGGGAGGGGAGGGCTGTGACTGCTCAGAGCTCCTCCCCAGAAATCACCGAGACTGGCACAGCCGGCCCGAGCTCACCTCTGGGGCGCTGCAGCAGTGCCGCGGCCAGGGCTGGAGGCGCGTACGGAAAGTAGGTCTTGAGAGCAAACTTCGGCTGCGGCAGCAGGGGAGAGTCAAAGCAGCAGGAGCGTGAGTCTCGGAAGGAAAAATGCAAAATCACGGACCCTTTTCCCCAAAGATGCACTATGCTAACGTGCTCAGGTTTTTAAACTGTTTTTTTTTTTTTAAATATGCTTCCAATAACCTTATAAATATTTTCCAGAAAGATGAAGCTGTTTAAAGTCACCTTCTGGGACTTAAGAACAATAAAGTCATGCTCTTGATGTCTTTATACGAATTCCTGACCTCTCGTGAACCCAATTACACACAGCATCTTGTGTTGCAGGGAAAGGCGCCGAGCAGGGATTCCAGCTCGGTTCTCAACAGCAGAGGCACGGAGGGCAGCGGTGCCCACGCCGCGAGGCCGGAGAGCTGCAGGGCCCCATGCCCGAGCGCTCAGGCACTCCGTGGAAACCGAGACACCCGGAAGGCGCAACGCGCAAGGCTCCAAGTGCAGTCTGGTGCGTTTTGGTAAGCTAGAAACCCTTGTGAGCGCGTCCCCCGTCCCAGCGGGGCAGGCGCGCAGGAATGTGGGAAGACGACCGGACTCACAGATACACCTGAAGCCCCCTGCAAAGGGAAGAGCTGGCGGCTTTCTCACTGTGAGGGGGGGACGAGGGCCACCACCGCCTGCCCGTGCTCCCCGGGGGGCACTGCTCTCCATCAAGAGCAACCGTGCACCTAGTGCAGATCCACAGTGCCCGAGGACGGAACGGGCAAGCCAGTGCTAGCGGACAGAACGCTCCCCAGCCTCCTCGGCCCGAGCTAGGTGTGTGCCAGGAGCCCGAGGGCGAGCTCTGCCGGGGCCGGCTCCTAGCCGGGAACACCAAGAATGCCAGGGAGGACAAAAGGCATCTGCGGTTATGCCTCCACAGAATCGTGAGGGCCGGCCCGTGCCTCCCGGCTGAGCTCCGTCCTGAACTCCAGGCGGGCACCACCGACAGCGCCATCGGCTAGTCTAGCTGACTTCCGCAGGGCAAGAGGAGGGGTGGGGCATAAATGCTCAACGGGTATTGTTGCCCTAATAAGGAGAAACACCTGCTGAAGTCTGAGAGGCCTTGGGCACAGCGGGGAGGCAGCTCCGCTCTCAGCAGCCAACTCCAGGCAGCAGCACGGGGGAGCCCACCACGGCCTTCCGGGAAGACGCGGGCACTGGGTCGGCGGCAGCGGAGACAGGCCAGCGGGAATGCTCCAGGGTGGGCGCCTCCCTGCAGTGGGCCAGCAGCCCTGGCAGCTGCCGCCTGCCTCTGCTGAGGGGCCCCTGGATCCTCGGGTTCCCTGTGGCACCTCGCACGCACCTCCTGCTCACTGCCGTTCCTGTGCCCTGTTCTCTTAGCACCTCCCATGTGGGTGTCTGGGAGAAATAAGACCCACTTGTTAAGCCCCGTGTTTTGTAGTTGGTGGTGTCTCCTGCTTAGCACCCCCCTCGAGGCTCCAGGGTGCCCCTCGTGGCCTGGGACGGGGCAGGAGAGCTCACCCTCCAGCTTGACCCGCGCGGGCCCGGCGGAGCCCGCAGACCCGAGGCAGTGGCAGCACCAGCACACGAGGCAGACAGAAACTGTCTTGGTTATTTCCACCTGAAACGGCTTCACCTTTGCTGGGCATTTATTTGGACGCTTCCTTTGTGAGCAAAGCAGTCCATCAGAATTACTGACAACAAAGTCCTCTTTTCTGGCCATCGGCCCAGACCGCCTAACTACCTCTCTTTCTGGAGAGGGGACGGGCAGGAGGAGGAAGCCGTGCGACGACAGACCTGCTCGTCTTCCTCCAGAGCTTCCACGAAGCATCTCGTGAACACTTGGAGAGCGGCTGCTACTTCTGGGGCTCCATCGGTCTCCAGGAGTGCGCACCTGCACGACGCACAGTCAGAGCACGACAGGTTAACGGTGGCCCGGGCTGCGAGAGGGAAGGGAGCTGACCTGTGCCCCGTCGGTGGGGTGCGCTCGGATTCCAGGCCGCACCCCCGTTCCAAGTAACTGCCTTTAGCCTGTAGTGCGGAGCTCCTTCCTGGTTCTGAAGCGACCGAGCAGCACACACCCCCGCCCTGGAGGGCAGCACACCCTGCACAGGGGCACAGGGCAGCAGGCTCTCTGCTCTCACCAGCCGAGACAGAGCTGCGCCCCAGTCACAGGGTTGTTTCCAAACAATGAACTTTTCATTATATTTGTTTAAGCAAATTAAAAAAAATCAACCCCCACTTGGCTAGCCTTAAGCTTGGAACACAGGCTCACTTCTCATGTCTATGGTCATCCAGCCTGAGGCTGGCTTGCTTCAAGGCCAACCTCGCGGTGAGTGTTACTGTCAGAGTCCCTCTCCCCGGAGTCTGCTGCCTGCCCGGGAACCTCCACTGCCCAGCGTGTGCTGGGAGGGAGGGCCGTCCCGGCTGCCCCTGCATTCGGCAGAGGGGCTCCCGGTCCCCGGCTGCCCCGGCCCCGAGTGTCCAGTGAGCGCCTCCTCTCTTGCCAGCTATGAGCCCAGTGCCTTTCCCAAGAAGCACCCGTATTCTCAAAACAAAATTAACGTGCTGTGAGGTACCATGCGTGGTTTACCTTGCCTTTCAGGACAGCTCCCTTAGGAACGGCTGGCTTTCCTTAGCTTTCAAGTCCGTTAGGAAGTTCGGTCAGCCCTCATGTGGCGAGGGCAGTGTACTGCTACCCTTTCTGCGGAGCTGAGCATCTCACGACAAGGACGTCAAATTCAAGTCCGCTTTCCTGTCACTACTGGTAGACACACACTGACTTTTTGAGATTTCACCCCTAATGACCACCGCCTCAGAGGCCTACGAAGGGCTCAGAGACCCGACTCTCTGCCTGGCAGCGCCGGGGGCGACCGCAGGCTGTGACTGCTGTTTGGAGAGGAAGCGCGCGCCAGCCGCTGCAGCAACAGCAGCTCGCCTACCTGAACATCTCATCCACGACCCGGAACACGGCAGGGTGGCAGGCGGCTCGCGGCTGGAAAAGGAAAGCAGCACGTCACGGGCAAGTCGCCAGTCGCAGCCCGTCCAGAGCTGCCGGTGCCCAGGAAGACGCTGGGCAGGGCCCGTGGATGAGCCTGGTCTCCTCTCTCTACTCCTGGACGGCTCACACGAGCCAGAGGAGAATGTGAGTGGTCACGGGCGGCCCTGCCGTGACGGCGCCAGCTGTCCTGAGACCGCCTCTCTCTCTGGCCTCCTCAAACGGCCTGCAAGGGCCCCAAGGCCAGTCCCCGTTCGTTCCTCTCACCAGGAAGTGAGCACGCAACTCTTCAGAATTCCTGCGGAAGAAACCGTGAACTCATAACAGCACATCTTAGCGCACTATGCATTTAGCAGCTTAAGTTATTCAGCATGAAAAGAGGGTTAATAAAGGAAAAAAGAGACACCATTATGAATGATCCCTTGCGTATTTTTCGACAGGTCTCCATGACTTACATCTGCAGAAGCCTCCTGTGGCCTGGGCTGACCCAGGGTCCCTCATCTTCCTGCTCGAAGCTCAAAGCGTGAGGTTACAGGTGGATCCCACGATCATACTGGACCGCAGCGCCGCAACCTCAGGGGACAGGGTTCTACAGGGAGTTTCTTGCAGTAACAATGTGCTCACTACGACTACATTTGGGAAGCATATTTCATAGACCTCCCCCTCACGAAAAAGAAAAGAAAAAGGCATAGCCTGCGTCGCAGTTTTCCAGACCGCACGGAAGAAAAGCAGGGCTGGCGCCTGCCTCCCAGAACTTGGCGCCCTCGCCAGCCTTTGCGCGGCGTCCCGAGTTGGAACATTGAGCGCTCGCCATCTAGCGGTGGCGCGCCAGTACTACAAGGCGCTGCCAGAGGCTCCAAGGTGGAGCGCCAAATGATACGATTGATCTTTAAATCATTGGAAGGAGAGATTTGTGATTTGCAACTTAAAATCCCCTCCTCTTTAAATACAGTAGTCCACACTCCCCAATTCCTCTCACTGGTGTACATCTTTACTTAAAAGAGACCCATTTCCAATTCTCACAGGTAAATTACCTGCTCAAGAAAAGAACTCAACAGTGACCATGCAGGGCACTTGCTGGCCTTGATCTTGGGCAAATCAGCTCATCTCCCTGCTTCTCAGCCTTCCAGTGAATACCAACAGATAGTGAGAGGTCACTGGGTATTGATCCAGAATGTATTAACAAAGTTTCTCTGTATTCATATTGGAAAAAGAAAACCAAACACAAGGAAAGGAAGCTGCATATTTTGCAGAAATATGATTGATTTCTGTTTACCAGAATTTTCTGAAGTTTCATATATAGGCAGTATGTCTCTTGAGTGTTTAAGACCCAACAGCATGGCTGTGTGCTCACTGGCAGGCAGACACACAGAGCCTGGAAACACAAGGACAAAAAAAAAAAAAACCACAAAGTTGAAAATGGTCAAGTAGCACCCCTTCCTGTGTTCTAAACTGTTCCACTCCGGGCCTACTCCATAGGTTGGGTGCTGAGACTCGGTCAATACTCCTCCATCAGGGGCCCTTCCAAGTGACAAGAACAAGAATGATCCAACAAGTAGTTTAGGGAGCAAGTAAGATGTCTAACGTTGTCAAAAGAGAATGAGCGCTTGCATGGACTTGTATGCAGTGTTTCCTAGCAGAAAGCTCCATCAGATGTTCAAAACATCTCCAGGCTGCATGGGATCTGCTTGCTCCCCCCACGCAGAGGGATGTCCTCTTAGACGTCTTCCTTTCCTGAGAGTTCAAACCCTGTGACTCCTGGTGCCTTCTACTGCCCATGTTAGCTTTCAAGACGGGGAGCTGGCAGGAATCAGGGGCCCTGCTGAGGCAGCAAGGGCACAGACTGACCGTGAGGCCCCGAGCTGTGAATGGTCTTTCTCATCTGCACTCTCTTCTGATGGCCTTTAAGAGAGACTCTCTATTCACGAGCACATAGTTTCAGGGTCAGTGAGTCCCCTTCTGGGGACTGGAGTGCTCCCGGGTCAGCCATGTGTCCCAGCGACATCAAATCACAAAAGTGTACTTCAGCTGCTTTTCTTACCAGGAGAATCTTCCAGGAGAGTCTGAGGTTTGAGGTGTGCTTCTTTGGAAGCCCCGTCTTCCCCTGACAACATCAGCGCACTTAGCAGGGCATGAGCAGGCAAACAGGGAGGCCCGCTCTGCCGGGCTTGTCTTGTGAATAGGCCACGACAGTAGCACACCAGGGGGTGCGCTGGGCAGCTCCCTCCCCTCTAACAATAAGTCGGTCCTGTGCCTTTTCCTTCACCTACCCAAAACCTGTCCCGTCTCAAGCTCTTCTCTTCCACACCTGGCCCACACATTTCCATGTACCGATGAGGTTTGGAGAAGCCATGTTATCAGAGGCCATCAAATAGGGATGGAGGGGTGGAAGGCCTTCCTTTGCTGGGGGATCAGACTGTCCTGTTGGGTGTGCAGCCCTTGCAGATTCCCCACCAGTCCCCAGTTTGCTCCCAGCTACCGAGAACCACACTGCTTGTCCCCTCTGCCTGGCAGGACAACCCACTCCTGCCCCTCGAGAGAAGCAGGCAAGGCCAAGTGAGCAGAGGGCCAGCGCACAGTAACAGCACTCCCTGCTCCAGGTTGTGCGGGAGCGGCTGACTGGGCCTCTCGTGTCCCCAGCCCTGCCTGGGCATCTGTTTCATCTGTTGCTTCCCTCGCGCCTCCTCGAGGACTAGCACAAGCCACTGGCTACTGAGAGGGGCCTTTGCAGGAAGAAATCTTTCCTCTTCTCCCTATCATTTTCGGATGGGGGGGGAGGGCAGGTAGGGATAGAGAGGGAGAGACAGAAAACAAATCAGCGAGAGAAATGAGACAGTGATTTGGGGCAATTCACAGGCAGAACAACCTCAAGCCCTTTTCATCTGCCACCCTTCAGAGATACAGTTTCCCTAGAATTAAGGAACGGATGGGCGCTTGTCTGGCCTAGCAGGTAAGAAGCCAGCAGAGACACCTGAGCCCAGACCGGAGCATCTGAGTGTGGGAGGCAGCACTCAGGGCTCAGGTAGCTGAGTCCCCGCCCCCACAAGGGAGACCTGGATCACAACTCTGGCTCTGGTTGTTGTGGGAATTTGGGGAGTGAATCAGCAAATGGGAGCTCTCTTTCTTGTCTCTTTATCTGCCTTTCAAACCAATAAATAAAAATTAAAAAAAAATTTAAGTGGTACCAGCATTGTGGCACAGTGTGTTAAGTCACAGCTGTGACATGGGCATTCGTATCAGAGCACCTATTTGAGTCCCGGATGCTCCACTTCTAATCCAGCTCACTGCTGATGCATATGGGAAGGCATAAGATCATGGCCCCAAGCGCTTGGGTCCCTGGCATCCACCTGGAAGACCTGGATGGAGCTTCTGGCTCCCGGCTTCAGCCTGGCTCAGCCCCTGCTATTGTGGCCATTTGGGGAGTAAACCAGTGGATGGTGGATGGAAGATCTCTTTCTCTCTCTCTCTCTCTGTCGTTCTGCCTTTCAAATAAATTAATCCTAAAAAATTAAAGAGAGGAATGGATGAGAGAGGAGTTGAAGTTCACTAACTTTGGGATAGATTCTTTCACATGTATTTCAATACAGAGTAGCTGAAATATTTTACTCAGGAAACGAAGACGCTTGCTAGCAGAGCATTGCCTCCAGTTTACCCACCCCCACGCCCCCAGCCAGGTCCCACTGTGCAGCTGGCTGTGGCGGGGGAGGCCCTCATTGTTAGCTTTGTATGTAAAGGAAAGGGCAGCTCAGTTCACCACAAAATGACTTTCTTCTTTCACGAAAAAAACTCTCCCTAAGACTCACTTCAACAGTAAACCCTCTCCTGAGTTGAGTGTAAGAAATCTTCTTATATAAAACCTTCCCATCGAGTAAGGCAGCTTCACAAACACGTATTTTTAATGTATTTTATATTGTGCATTTATGTATTTTTGATTATGCCCTTTTTTCTGTTTTCAAAATACTAAACCTAAGAATGTAAACATCCCTTTTACATTTTAGGACCTATTTTGTTTCAAAACATTCAAGCTCTTGCAACAAATTTGAGCTTGGAAAAATTATTCTTTCCTTTTAATCTTTACCAGATGTTGTTTATACGACAAGTAATTTTTTTTCAGTACTCCATAATGCAATTATTGTTTAATTAGTGATAAATCTGTCATTCCTGGGCTTAAAAACTTAACAAGTACCAAATGTACTTTTGTGGTTTAAGCTTACACACATTCTCTGAGAGGTAAGACCAGAGTCGGAGGTATGTATGGGAAGGCATGGAGTGGCCAGCTCTGGACGCCAGACAAAAATCCCCCAAATCCACAGCCCTCTACTCACCTCCCGCAAGCCGCTGCCCAGCTGGCCAGCAGAGCCTGAGCAGGGAGAAAGCTCTTGGGCCCTTGGCCCCTCCTGCTCCCCACTACAGCCTCTGAGTGGCTCCTAAGCCCACCAGTACTGTTTTTGTTTATTGTAGTTGTTGGATTTTTGGTTTTCTTCCTCTCTCCCTTGATTTCTGGCTGGTAGCAACCATCCTTGCATCATCTCTAACAGAACAAAAAGAACTTGCAATGTGGTGTGGTGTGTATGTGCTTGTGTTTTGTGTTGTGTGTGTGGTGTGTGTGTCTGTCTGTCTGTCTCCCCACTCCCTCCCTCCCTCCCTCTCTGCAACGCTGGGGGATCTGCTGCCCCCCTGAGGCCGCCACTAGAAAGTGCAACTACTGTGGAAGCTGTGGCTCCTTGGGCTAATTTTAGCCACAGACAGGAGTGGCCACCACACTATTCCTACTAGGCCACCGCTAAATTATCTCCTTCAGCTTTTGCAAAATTACATGCATCACATTAAAGAGCTCAAAAAAGGAGATGTTTAAAAGACTGAAAATGAAAAAGCAGGAAAAGAAAACCCTAGAACATTAGTGAAATGAGACTCAGGGCAGAAAACCGACAGCAGCAGCCGGGTTGCAGAGTTAGGTCGTCAGCAGGATACCGTGCGGATCCGGGTTTTGCATAAAGCAAGCTTCACTGTGCCTGCCGCCTGCAGACTGGAGCCAGAACTCGTCCTAGCTCACATCTGGAGGCGCTAGCTGGATGGTTTTTCATACCTAAGCTCTTCTTAGATAAAGAAATCGTTTTAATTGACCTATGAAGACTTGTAGATAGGAGAGAGAAAGAGGAGTATTATCTGAGTATAACAAAAACAAACCCAGCCCCGCCTCCTCCGCGCCTCCCCCTGGCATTCCTCCTCTGCTCTCTCCTCTTGTTCTTTCAGGGGAAAATCTGCCTGCGGAGGCGAGGGAGGGCATGGGAACCGGGGTGCCCTGGCCCTGGCACGCAGACGGCAGTGAGTGCAGGGCCACCCTGCCAGCCCGCCCGCACTTGTCATTCAAATGTGGAATCCAAACAATAGCTTTCTGGGCTCCACAAACAGAATTGTAACTGGAAAACAACATCCTGGGAAACTCGAGCAGTGCCAGGAAAGCTGCATAATTAGCAAATGGCTTTCACTGCTTTCGGAGACATCAGTTTTTAAGGTCAGGCCCGAAGCTACGGATTACGGTCTTCCAGTGCCCGCGCTGTCAAGGGAAACACAGACGGTCTGTAAGGCAAACGACAAGCTGGGGTTAATGCCTTCATTTATTCAGGGGCCACCAACTGTGGCAGGCAGCCCTGTACTGCCCTGGAAATCAAAGGGTGCACCTCAAAAGCAAATAAGATCTGAAAGCTGATTTTAATTTTAGAAGTCAAATGCATGCATATAGCAAGTATGCACCCAAATAAACTTACCTTCTAATTTCATTTTCCATGAACTTTTTGCAGTACCCTCCCATGAGTTTAGAATGCAGGTGACAGTAGGCTACTCCCCATCACTGATGGTCTTATTGGACCAGGCCTCGGAGTCCCTGAGAGGCCAGACCACATTTGGGAGGTCATCTCACTTTGTACAACCTGTACCACACTTTCATCCCCTGTAGCTGCTGCATTGTGGTAACTATAGAATTTCCAGGACTCATTCTGGACAGTCCCAAGGGATGGAAATGTAATTAACAGTGTTCCATGTGAAACACGAGTTACGCAGACCATCACACTTTAATTACTCTCAGAATCCAAGCCTAACGTAATAGGCATCAGGTTTCCTCCCGAGCAGAGTGCAGCAGTCTCTAACTGAGTCTTGAGATTCTCGGATACTTCTGCCTGGTGCTGTCGCCGCACCGAGATAAATGAATCAGATGATGCAGCTAGGAAGCAGGTTCTTCAGGTTGCTCCTGTAATCACTCAGCCTGCTGGGGTTTCTGGCACTGTGGGCCGGCCGGGTGCCCACGCCAATCAGAGGCTTCCAGCTCATTGTCTGTACTGTAATTACCTCCTTGAACCATGAGGCACAGAGAGGTCACATCCTGCCAGTGCCACAATAAATTAAACCAAATAACACCCTCTCGAATCCCCCTTTGACCATAATGGGAGCTCTGAATCTCTACACACATGATCCTGATCGACGCTTTTGTAAATCAATTGACTTTGAAGCTGTCTGACGAGGGGGAGGTTACTGTAGACCAGAACCTGGAGACCGAAGATGAGACCATGTTGCCGTTTAATGGGCAGGCCTGCTGTCTCTCTCCATCACTAGCATGCCACTCAGGCCTGACGGTTACACATGCAAAGGACAGGGAGAAGGTCCAGCGAGGAACTGCCGGGATCAAAGAGAGGCCAGAAAGTCAATGGGACTGGAATTTTTCAATTGAGAGAAGACTCGAGGAAAATTTATTAAGTATCTGGAAGCAGGCGAGAGCCTGGTTACCAATTTTGCTACTGACAAGGGACCATAGAAAATTAACATGAATTGCAGCATGCATATTTAAGTTCGAAATTAAGAGATTTACCAGATAGTAAATGTAATTTATTACCTTATGTTACCTGGAATGGGCTGCCTGAGGGCTTCTAAAGGTCTTTATTTTCAATTGTACTGAACCCACTTTTAAGTAAGGTGCATTCTTATTTCTTGTCTTAACATGCAGCTTTTTTGAATGATAAGGTGAAGGTATAATTATAAAAAAGTCTTCTCTGCACTCTCTTGGTCTTAGTACATACCCACCTTGCCTTTTTTTCTCTATATATATTAGTCAGTCTTTCTTTGCTACACCAAAATCCCTGGGGCAGGCTAATTTTATTAAGAAAAGAGGTGATGTATGAGTTCAAGGGCACGGGGCAGGCATCAGCTCAGCTCTGGTGAGGCCCCCGTGGCCGCATGGGGAGGTATGCACATCATGGGAGGTATGCACGTGGAAGAAGCATCCCACCTCAAAACAGGAAGCCAGAGGGGCTAGGTGGGGCCAGGCGCCATGAGAAACACCGGAATCCCCATGAGGGCAGTGCCCCCAGTGACCTCTCCACGGGCCCCACCTTGCAGCATCACCACACTGAGAACCGAGCAAGGGACGCCACTTCCAGCCACAGCCTAGCACACACTGTGCACTTCCCAGTCGGCTGGCCTCCATCTGTGCCACCAACTTACAAACCACAGCAGCCCGACCACCACCGACAGCCAGCTCTCTCCACCTCTGCCTGGCTGACAGGGGCCATGAAACAATGGGGAAGGCTGCCAGAGGAGGCAGCTGACTCAGTTATGATTCCTTAACACTGGCTCCACGTCACAAGAGAAAGAAAAGAGGGGCCAGCGCTGTGACGCGGTGAGTAAAGCCGCCGCCTGCCCTGCCGGCATCCCATATGGACGCCGGTTCCAGTCCCGGCTGCTCCACTTCCGATCCAGCTCTCTGCTGTGGCCTGGGAAAGCAGTAGAAGATGGCCCAAGTCTTTGGGCCCCTGCACCTGTGTGGGAGACCCGGAAGAAGCTCCCGGCTCTTGGCTTCGGATCGGCACAGCTCCGGCCATTACGGCCAACTGGGGAGTAACCCAGCAGATGGACGATCTCTCTCTCTCTGCCTCTGCCTCTCTGTAACTCTGCCTTTCAAATAAATAAACAAATAGTAAAAAAAAAAAAAAAAAGAGGAAATTCTCAATGAACTAAACGCACACGAGGCATCAGGAGGCAGGGCTGCACAGCCAGCCTCAGTGCCTTCTTGCGTCTTGGACAGAGGTGGACACCTCCTCCTTCCCAGTTTCCTCGCCAGCACCTAGAGACAGGTGTTCACTGACACTCTTAGAGTTCACTTTTCCCATCTGGGCAACAGGAAGAGACTCTGTAAATCCCCACAGGCTGTGAAAGGCTGTAAGGTTCTCAGAAGACAGATGCCGGGACTGAGGCCCCTGCAGGGCTTGGAACTGTTTTTTTTCAAGGCGCACTGGTTCTTACAAAAATGCACACCAATTGTGCAGACTGGCCTCCCGTAGCAGAAAACATCTGACTAGTCTCTGGGGACAGCCTCTGAGCCTGGGCTGGGCACCTAATGGTGTCCCTCACTGAGTCTCTGACTCCACAGACCTGGGGATGGGGCACAGGGGGGGAGAAGAAAGCTACTGCATGGAGGAGGTACCAAGGTTGGCAGGCTTACCTACAAGAAGAAAACTCTAAAGGCCTTTCATTGTTTTTATTGTTTTAACTGTTTTTCTAGGGCTTTGTCTCATTTCTCTTCAGTAGTTTAGTTTTTCTCTAGTGAAGAGCTAAAAGTCTATTTGGAATGTTTTGAATTGATTCCTGCTCTTCCTCATATGTAAGTTTTAAATTTTTAAAAATGTGATTTTGGGGCCTGCGTTGTGGCACAGCAGGTTAAGCCTCTGCCTGTGATGCTGGCATCCCATACAGGTGCCAGTTTGAGTCCCAGCTGCTCCACTTCCAGCTCCCTGCTAATGCACCTGGGAAAGCAGAAGAACGTAGCCCAAATGCTTGGGCCCCTGCACCCATGTGGGAGACTCAAAGCAGCCCTGGAATCCTAGCTTCTGCCTGGCCCAGATCCGGTGGTTGTGGCCATTTAGGGAGTGAACCAACAGATGGAGGTTCCTTCTCTCTCTCTCCCTCTGTCTCTCCTCTCTATAACTCTGCCTTTTTTTTTAAATCTTTTAAAAAATGCACTTTCACACTGGAAGAGTTTTTAGAATGCTTGTCATCCAAATGTCAATTTGTGTGACTATGCAACATAAGGTGCAGGAATGGAGTGCACCTGGCAATCAGAAGAGCACCGTCCTCCCCATCTCGAGGTAGGTACTTTGTAAATAAACATCGATGCCTGGTTATCTGTAAAGGTTCACTTGCACTTCTGTTTACATTCTCCTCCTTTTTCTCTCTCTGACTAAAAAGAATGATTTCTCAGAATCTCCTTAAAGGATTCGTTCACCAAAGCCCAGCACGTACCAGCAGCGATTCTTTTATGAAGCATTCGATCTCTCGCAGACAGTTTCCCTCCCTGGAGAGCAGCTTCTCAAAAAGACGCAGTATTGCTTTCTCAAGGCTGGGAAGGTGCCGGAGCCAAAGGCAGACCACAGCCGACGTGGAGAGAGAGATCTTCTTCCTTTCAGCAAGAAATAAACAAAATTTTTTTAAATAGAAATGAATTGCTGCAAAAAAAAAAAAAAAAAAAAAAGAGAGATTAAGAAAATTTGAAATGTTGGGGCCGGTGCTGTGGCGCAGTGGGTTAAAGCCCTGGCCTGAAGCGCCGGCATCCCATATGGGTGCCAGTTCTAGTCCCGGCTGCTCCTCTTCCCATCCAGCTCTCGGCTATGGCCTGGGAAAGCAGTGGAAGATGGCCCAAGTCCTTGGACCCCTGTACCCACGTGGGAGACCTGGAAGAAGCCCCTGGCTCCTGGCTTCGGATCGGTGCAGCTCTGGCCGTTGCGGCCATCTGGGGAGTAAACTAGCGCATGAAAAGACCTTTCTCTCTGTCTCTACCTCTCTCTGTAACTCTTTCAAATAAATAAAATAAATCTTTAAAAAAAAAAAAGAAAATTCGAAATGCAATCACTAATCCAATTTATGAAACTTATGGTCATTGCAGCAGTTGATATCTATAGTCTCAGTGAGTATTTATGAAGTGCATTTATAAAATAATGCAGATATGCTTCCACTTCAACTCACCTTAAGAAATCAGAGAAATGCTAAAATAAGATAATACATAATGATGGAAGAAAAAGTGAGAGGAAATGAAATGGACAAGGACGTGTGATATTCAGATAAACACAGTCCTTGACTGAAGAAAACCACATGGTTTAGATTATGGAACCAGACCCAGGTTGTCGTCCCAGGGCCACCACCTACTAACCATGGCATTAGTGAGCCTCCAAGCCTCAGTACACTCATCTGTAGAACAGGCGTCCCTCCCTCCCCAAGATGTTGGAAGGATCCAATGCAGTCACCCACATACCACTGTATTAGTACAGTGCTAGGCTCCTGGTAAACAGGCTCTGGGATGGCCTCAGAGCCGTCCCCCAAGGGCCTCCTGCACCCCAGAGTAGGTGCTTCCAAGGGTCTGCCGCAGATGCTGATTGCTACCGACAAGGACAACTAAGCTGGGCCGGGGGTTCCCCATCAGCCAGCAACCCCCTCAGTGCTGTCCCTCACCACGGCTCCTGGTCCAGGGCAGGGGAGCAGTTCCCCGTGGTCTCACCATCTCCTCTTGCTGTAGACCTTGCACTGGACTGACTCTAGGGCCAGAGGAGGTAGGGAAGAAGCTGAGGAGTCGGGGGACTGTGGAGGAGAAACGGCGGGCACAGTCTACCCCTGAGCCTCCTTCTGACCTCACATCCTCGCCCTGAGCTTCCACTCACCTGGGATCCCTGGCAGAGCCCCTTCCCCGTCTTCTCCCACCCTTCTTAGCTGGTTAGAGAAGTGCCATGGTGCCCACCGCTCCAGTGTTAGATGCACTGCCTGCTCAGCTGAGAGGATACAATGTGTGAAGGGCTTGCTACGAGTTCAGCTGGGGCATGTAGACTGAGAATAAGGCACAGCAGATCCATGAGATCCACTGAGAACAAGGCACAGCAGATCCATGAGATCCACTGAGAACAAGGCACAGCCGATCCATGAGATCCACTGAGAACAAGGCACAGCCGAGCAGTCGCCATCCATGCTGGAAACTCTCCCCAGGGAGAGTTCTGGGCCGAAAGGGCCCTTTGGGAGGCATCAGCCAGCAGGGAAGGGGACGAGAACTCTGAGGGTCTGAGGTCTGAGCAGGGAGAGACGGCAGAGGAAGGAGATGATACAGGGGCACTCAGCAGAAGACAGGTCACCAGAGCCCGAGAAGAGACAGAAGCCAGGAGGGCTGCTGGGAGCAGCATTGCTGCAAGGCTGAAGAGATGCAGGGGAGCCGCCAGGTGCCAGGCAGGCCCTGGACAGAAGCAGAGGGGGCAGCCAAGGGAGCGAGCTGGGCGGTGGGTGCTGCTGGGTAGGACACAGAGGAGCCAGAGAGGCAGGTGGGCTGGATGTGCTCGTACTTTAATCCTGACAGCCCTACGCGCTAGGCACCACTGTCACCCTTACTGCTCAGGCTGTGGGGGTGGAGAGGGACTGAGGACATGCAGCCAGTACGATGTGAAGCCTGGGGTGTGTGCCAAATCCAGGCCTCTGCCCAGGGCTGCAGATGAAGCTGCCGCTTCTGCAGGAGAGAAGACGCGGGGAGGTGGCCTGGGCACAGTAGGGTGAGCTCTGAAGACAAGCCTCTCCCCAAGTCTAGGCCGCCACCAAATGCAGCCACATCCACAGAGCCTTTCGAGGAGTTTCTCACAGCTATCAATGGGGACTAGAGCATTTCATGGAGAGTAGGGCCGGGGGTGGGGACGGAGGGGGAAAGGTGTTTGTGGCCTCCGTCGTGGATCAAGCACTCGGAGGTGCTGGGGGGCTGGCCTGGCTGCTCTTCTCCCAAAGAAGGGCACCTTCTGCTCTGCTTTCCTCACCCCGTGCCTTTTTCAGGATTCACAGAAGAAAATATGTCCATTATTACGGAAGTGTCCCGCCTCTGTGAAAGTTCACCTTGCACAGGCCTAAGGCAGGAAGAGCTGTTAAGAAAACGTGGATTTTTGCGTGTGCATGTTTGTCTGTACTGCCACATGTCTCCACAGCAACCAAGACGTTCTGCAGCACTGGGTACAGCATCGTTGAGCAAGCATACAAACAGATTGGTGGTGCAAGATGGTAGTTCCATCAAATACGTGAATGATGGCACCTCCTGCAGCAATATTAAAGAACAAAAACTAGAAAGAACCGCAGTGCGCATCCACAGGGGCAGGGCAGAGCAGAACAGAAGATGGCCCGCTTGTGTCTTGCAGTGTGTTCCCATCTGTGAAGTGTGTTGGCCTTTTTACCCCACAAGGCCTGTCCAAGACATGCTGGGTAACAAGCAGGCCCCAGAGGGATGTGGAGGTGTGCGGCTGGCTTTGCTTTAGGCAACTTAAAGGTAAGAGAAAACTGCTTTCCACAGACTTGTCTGTGTTTATGAGTGCAAAAGAATGACTTCCAGAATAATGGGAGCATGATGAGGAAGTTAACATTTTCTGTACACACTCTTGGAAAGCACTGTTGAACCTGATAAAAGCAGTGTATACTCTGCAGAAATTTTAAACAGCCAGTAAATTAATAAAGAAAAAAAAAACCAGTTTTTAGGGACATAGAGGGGTCATTCTGTCCTAGTAGTGTTAGTGGTTAATAGCTCTCGGCTGTCCTTTTCACACTCTATACTTGTCAGGATCAGAACGGTAGTGTCAATGAGGCGGGCAGATTTAAAACCTGGCTCCTTCAAATGCCTACCTGCTAATCACAAGGAGTACATTCGTTGTATTTTAGGAAACTGGTAGGGCCTATGGGGTTTATATGTATATAATTTTCCCCTTTGAAACAACGCAGAGGCGGCTCCCCATCAGTGCTCCCCCACAGTTGCAGGTGTGGTGCGGGAGAAGCCTGGGCAGCATGCTCTCCCCTGCCACACCTGCTTCTGGGCCCCTACTGACAGACACCTCCTTGACACAGGAAATTCTACTCTGTTCCCCCAAAAGACTCATTTTAGTAAGGCCCATCCCATGAAAGGAGGGAGCAGGTAAAGGAACTGAGGTGGGTGCTTAGTGAATCATTTTGGCTCCACATTTTTAATAGCTATATAAAAAAAAAAAAAAAAAAGAATGTGGCATTAAAGTCTGCGGCCGGCGCCGCGGCTCACTAGGCTAATCCTCCACCTAGCGGCGCCAGCACCCCGGGTTCTAGTCCGGGTCGGGGCGCCGGATTCTGTCCCGGTTGCCCCTCTTCCAGGCCAGCTCTCTGCTGTGGCCTGGGAAGGCAGTGGAGGATGGCCCAAGTGCTTGGGCCCTGCACCCCATGGGAGAGAGACCAGGAGAAGCACCTGGCTCCTGCCTCCGGATCAGCACAGTGCTCCGGCCGCAGTGCGCCAGCCGTGGCGGCCATTGGAGGGTGAACCAACGGCAAAAGGAAGACCTTTCTCTCTGTCTCTCTCTCTCTTACTGTCCACTCTGCCTGTCAAAAAAAAAAAGTCTTTGCAAGCAAGGTTCCTGAAAAGGAAGCAATCGTCTAAGGGCAGAGCTGGGCCTGCCTCCATCAAGACAAACATGCACAAAAACAAAAATCCATGCTTTCCTAACAGACGGAGACCAAGGGCTGCTTGGGATGCTAGAGGAACCCACAAAAATTGGAATCAACTTTTCTAGAGAATTGGTAATTCCAAAGAACTGGAAACAATATTCTCCATTACACACCACAGATGCATTTACATGATAACCTGATCCTAGAGAGAGCGCTAACAATATCATACAGACACCAACTTCTCATAGCAAATGCAACCACCACCGAGCAGGTGGGAGTTCCTGTTTGAAATCAGTATCAGTGGATTTTCATTTGCAAAGTTTTTCAGTGACTAATGTGATGGCTGTGTCTCAAGGTTTTTTTTTTTTTTTTTTTTCCCTCTTCCAAGGATATCAGATGTCTCAGTCAATAAATAAAAGAAAATGGATATTTTAGTAACTACTAATCTAATTCTGTCCTATCCCTTTGTCTTTGGTACTACACTAACTTTTCTTCTTTAAACATTCATCTACAAGGAGCCGGCACTGTGACACAGTGGGTCAAGCCACTGCTTGCGATGCTGACAGCCTACCTCAGAGTGCTGGTTTGAGTCCAGCTGCATCGTTTCAGATCCAGCTCCCTGCTAATGTGCCTAGGAAGGCAGCAGAGGATGGCCCACCCTGCCACCCACATGGGAGACCCAGATGGAGTTCCTGGTTCCTGGCTTCATCGTGGCACTTAGGGAGTGAGCCCATGGATGGAAGATCTCTCTCTCTCTTTCTGCCTTTCATATAAATCAATCTTAAATTCATTTACATTATTTGACACCATTAAAGTACTGATTTTTCTTATCTAGATTGAAAAAAGACCAAACAAGGGGCTTGGATCAAAGTTAACCTTTTATTATTGTGTATTTTCTTTATTTTCAGAGCCTTATCTTTCCAATTTGTAAAATGGATATAGCAATATTGAGGGTATTTTGAATAATCTGTAGCTCCTCATGTTAGTTCCATTAGCACTTTTTGTAATTTGATATGCTAGAGCAAGCACACGAGATGAGTAAAATGCTCACCAGTAAATTATTCAAGGAGTATAAAATAGTTCTCCTCTAGGATAGTGAATTCTTTTCTCAATAAGCAGCTTTGGAAGACATACTGTCTCTTTCAGCAATGGGAATTGAACTCATATTTGGCCTTGGTTTAGTGATCCTTTTGTCAGGAGGAAAAGAAAGGAGTGTGAGGAAAATTAATACTAAATATTACCAAAAATCTAATTATCGAGGTGGGTGTTCGGTGCAAAAGTTAAGCCTCCGCTTGAGATGCTCACATCCCGTATCAGAGGGCCTGGGTTCAAGGCCTGGCTCCACTTCCAATTCCAGATTCCTGCTCATGCACATCCTAGAAGTAGCAGGTGATGGCTCAAGCACTTGGGTCCCAGCCACCCACGTGGAAGACCTGGATTGAGTTCTAGGCTCCTGGCTTTGGGCCTGGCCTATCCCAAGCTGTTGCTGGCATTTGAGGAGTGAATCAGTGGGTGGGAGATACCAGTTTCTCTCTCCCTTTCAAATAAATAATAACAAGAGTAGCAGCAACATACTGTCAGTTTTGAATGTTGACTGAGTGCCAGGCACTGTGCAGAGCATATTACAGGCACTGGACTCATTTAAATCTAGGGTGAACACACGTCCCGGTTTCCAGGGACGAGTTTACATCTGTTGTCTGAAGTTCATTTCATTCTCAAAAGTGCTGTGCTCTGGACTTTAAGTTATATCGTCACCCTGTGGAACTCTCACAGACACCCAAGGTCAGCAGGTTGATCAGCCATCCCTTTAACCGCCAGCTGTCTTTACTCGCAGAACACTTCTGACACCAACCGCTTGGGCTCCTTGCGCCCCCTCCTCCCTGAACATACATCCTCCAACCAATTCTGTAGCTCTCCGGACACCAACTAGGTTGTTTAAGAGTTGAATTGCATTTTGAACTAACTACCTGGTGTTTGCACAGACTCCACAAGCTAGTCTCAGTCACATGAGACAGCCAACTGGCTGTATCCATCAGAGGTTTCCCTGATTTCCTCTTCAGGTTTGATAATTTGCTAGAACAGCCTACAGGACCCAGGAAGACACTTGACTTGCTGTTACCTAGTTTATTACAACTCAGGAACGGCCCCTGGAAGATACGCACAGGGCCAAGAGGACGGGGCTCGGGGGTCCAAGCCCTCTTCCTGGTGCACAACCCTCCCAGCACCATGATGAGTTCCCCACCTGGAAAGCCTCTGAACCCTGCAATTCAGGGCTTGAATGGAGCCTGGCTCTGCAGGTGTGATCGAGTAAATCGCTGGCCACTGGTGAGCAGGCAGACGCTGGCATCAGGAGTGTCGCTGCATTCACAAGATGGCTCCTCTGGCAACCGGTCCCCATCCTGCAGCTGTCTTGGGCTCACCAAGAGTCCCCCACCTGCCTAAATTCGGGCATGACTGAAAGGGGCTTATCGTAAATAACAAAAGACCCTTCTGTCACCTCTATCTCTCAGGAAATCCAAAGGATTTAGAGGCATGGACAAAGACCAAATGCAGATTTATTACTATATCACAGTCATATGTTCATTCTTTCTTTCACTTATTCATTGGCTCATTCATTCCAGGCACGGAAGAACACTCTCCATCAGTCATCCAGCTCCTCGGTATTCTGAAGCCGTGGCTCTGGCTTTCCCTCAGACTCACAAAGCACCTCTGCAGGCTCCAGGAGAGGCTTTGCACAATCTGCAGGCTGCAGGTGGCTATGACGGCAACCCCAGGGACAGACATGGACAGTTGGGCTTGACATTTAGGCCAAGAAATTAAAAAGTTCCTCTGGGTTATCTAAACCGCGGGGGAGCGGGGAGAGGCAAGCATCTGCTGCTTAAGAGAAGACAGGCAGCCCAATTCTGAAAGTACATGAGTGTATCTGGAAGCCAAGGCCAAGGACACCAGCCAATTATAAAACAGACAAAATTCCACTGGTGTATTGTGGTAAGCACATAGTTGGAAGGCTAAACACAGGGCAGGGCACATTGGTCAAAGGAAGAATGTGGTTTCTAAATGACCAGGCAGCACACTGGGGAAGAGGGCTGGCGTGGGGGAGGTCATCTGCACTGACTGACTGAGTGAGCCTCCCTGTGTCAACATGTGGCCAGGACGCTCCGTCCGTGGGAAAGTGTCCATGGAAAGGCTCCAGCCCTTACGCCACTGCTTGGGGAACTTGCTGAGCTGAAGCCACAGGAATTGGACACACTGAAGACCACCCAGCATCTGGACAGCCTGTTCCCTATGGATTAGCAGACATCATTTTCCAAACCAAATAAATTTTATTAGTTGTTGAGGGAGAACATGCTATCACAAGTGAAGCCGAGAGGCAGGGAGTGCAGGCCTACGTGTGGAGCCTGCCCTCGCGTCCTCTGAGCCCCGCAGGCGGAGGGCAGGCAGCTCCTCGCTGAGTGCCTCGCTGCCTTGCCAGCCAGCTCTGCAACAGTGCTTTCGGGTTTCACAGTGGATGCCAAGGGACGCGGTCCTCTAGCTTCCCTTGAACTCCACTCTCGTTGAGAGAGTCGTCAGGACATAAAGGCTGCTAAGGCTGTATTCTGTGGTGGAATGCATCCCCAGAGAAATCAGAAATGGAGCCGTCACGGGGAAAGGCAAGAACATTCGACTTAAGAGTAAATATTCTGCACGGTTTCTGTGGAGTGAGAGAAATTTCTGAGGACAGCTGATGGGGTAAGCAGTTAGAACCAGAAGTACGTACTCAGTTAAATGTGTAAACTTTTAAATTTATTATTATTACTCAGTATCTCACACAGACAACAAAGCACTGAGCAGACTCAGGAAATTCAGTTTTACTGGGTAAATTTTGACAGAGGGATTGTTTTAACCATGAAAATTATGTTTTGACCATTTTGAAAAATATGAAATAATTTAACCTTCTATTTCTCTGTCAAATCTTAAAGTCCTGGATTACAACCTTATTTTATATAAGATGAAATCAAAACATGCATTCTTATTTCCAAGAGTTACATATGAAAGTAGGAAATAGTGTACTAGGAGCTACTTCCTCTGAACTAACTGTGAGAACAGTGATGGTTTTGAGCTTGTTCATTTTCCAAAAGCTATGATCCATAAAAACCCATTTGAAGAGAGAGAAGACTCACTAGGAAAGCCAAAAAATTCAAAACAAGGATACAATAAAACCCTGGGAGTACAGATTTTCTAAAACCTATGTGTGGAAAACACATCAACCACTCTGTGAAGATCCCAGAAACTGAACAAATAGAAAGACAGATGTGCTCTGGGACAGGTGGACAGAGGGTCTTAACCTTATAAAAATACCAGTTCTCCTTGAGTTAATTTCTTTATCCCTAACATGAATCTTCCCACATATAACACTAGGCGTCTTTTCGGGGGCTAGACAAATTGGCTTCAAAGCTTATTTGAAAGATACAACAAGCAATAACAGCACAAACTGAAAAAGAAGAGAAATGAGAGAGAACTAGCCCAATTTTGTATTAAGCACTTTAGATTCCACCACTAAAACAAAATGGTACTGGTGTACAAACATATAATAGGCCAAAGAACCAGAACAGAAAATAAGAAAATAGGTTCAATGGTAGAAAATTGAGTTTATGACCAAGGTAGCTCCTTAGATCAGCAGGGGTATTTGTGATGGGGGGGACTTACACCCTTATCACACGCAAGATGGTGGAAATGTTCTGCAACTTGCAAATATGAACAACCCTATTATTTACTTTTACATTTTTATTTATTTTGTGGGTTTCAAAGGCACACAGAACTCTTCCCTCTGCGCTGGTTCACTCCCCACGTGCTACTACAGCCAGGGCTGAATCAGACTGAAGCCAAGAGGAGCCCAGAAACCAATTCAGGTTTCTCACATGGGTGACAGGGATCCAGACAGCTGAGCCATCATCTCCCGTCTCTCTGGTGTGCATCAGCAGAAGGCCAGAATGGAAGTAGAGGCAGGACTTGAACCCAAGCACTCAGGGGATGAAGGCATCCCAAGCCACATCTTAACCACTAGGCAAAAATGCCTGTACTTAGATCGCTAGCTTTAAGAAGGAGAAATAAAAGAACTGCCTTGTGGGGAGCAACTGAGACTAGACTAAATTACTGGAATTAAGACTTATTCTATGCATCTGCTCTCCCACAATATGGCGCTGAGAGAGAGACCAAACAACCTCTACGCAGCTGCCTCACCAGTTTGACTGATAAGCGGCAGCAGCTGATCCTGCTCCTGATTGAAGGAGAGCAGCGTACTCGGCGTGTGGGTAGCAGAGTTGGGATTGGTGGAAGAGGACTATAAAGGAGGAGAGAGACAACATACACCTGAAGGAACATCTAAGGGGAACACCTGTGCAGCCCCTGAGAGAGCCGGCCGGCGGTGTGCCGCTCCTCCGCGGAAGCGGGGAAAGTGGCGGGGGGGGGGGGGGGGGGGGTGCCGCCCCTCCATGGAGGTGGAGGGGCCGGCAGCTAACCCAGGACGGCGTCGTTCCTCCGCAAGTGAGGGACCAGCAGCTAACCCGGGAAGAGCCAGGCAGAAAGAACAGCACAGGGTCTAGTGTCGTTCCTCCGCGAATGGGGGAGCGACATTGCCTTCTTATTCCATGGCTTTTTTTTTTTTTATAAACAGTCACTTCATTAATTTTTTTAAAAAGTATGTGCCAAATGACCAAATCTGAACAATTATTGGAAGAGATAAAAGTGACAACACTTCAGAAAATTCTCTCACTCAGGTACCAGACACACTACTCTTGAGGAACTGGGCTAAACTGTGAGGAAAAAGCAAAAATCTGCAGCGGGGAGGGTATGCATTTAACCTAGCAGTTACAGTGCCCCTTGAGACAGTCAAATCCCTTATCAGAGTGCCTGGGTCCAAGTCTCAGCCCTGCTCCTGACTCCAGCTTCCTGCTGATGCATATAGAAGCAGAACTGTGTTTCTGGCTCCCAGCACCAGCCTGGCCTCAGCCCCAACCCTAGCTGCTGTAGACACTTAGGGAGTGAACAAGCAGATGTGTATGTTTTTCACTTCTCCTGTATGTCATTCCATCTCTCAAAGTATGTATATTTTATATATACAAGGGTTATTCTTCACTTGGCTTCCAGATGTTGATTATTTATTTTATTTATTTAAAAGGGAGGGTTACAGACAGAGAAGGAGAGACAGAGAGAGGTCTTCCATCCGCTGGTTCACTTCGCAAGTGACCACAACAACCAGGGCTGGGCCAAGCTGAAGCCAGGGGTCAAAAGCTTCTTCCAAGCCTCTCATTTGGGTGTAGGGGTATAAGCACTGGGCCGTCCTCCATTGCTTTCCCGGTTGCATTAACAGGGAGCTGGACAGGAAGTGGAGCAGCCGGGATTGGAACTGGCACCCATATAGGATGCTTGCATTGCAGGCAGTGGCTTAACTGCTATCCCATATTATGTCTTATACAACAAAATGTTTCAAATATTGTTAGGATGTGAATTGACTGCAGCATAAATTTTGAGGCCATTTAGAATTTGAACCCAAATTAATTGAATAATGTAATTATATGTGACACATTAATAGCTCATCAACAGACCTGTACTTCTTCCTCACAGTGGATTCTCTGGACATGCCAGATTTGCTGTGTTCCTTGTGACCATCTAGTAAGAACAGCAATTAGGCATGGAAGATCTTTTATATGAAAACTATCCACACATACAGGTGGTACCAAAGTACATCAAGTATTGAATAACTATTTTGAATCTCATGGTATTTCCTGAAACAATTGTGCTGATATTTGTCCTGACAATGCAAAAACAACAGCGTGTACTGCTCATATAAATCACAGTTCCGAACAAGTATGACTGTACTCCTCATTACTGCCACATGCTCATAGCCAAACACTGCTGGTTTCAAATCAGAATGCATGATGAGACAATATAAAATACTGATTTTATTGAACTGGCACTCTGGGGAACAGTGTGCTTTTAAAAAATATTCTGGGGAGCGGGACGATGGTGCAGCAGGTTAAAGCACTGCCTGCGAAGCCAGCATCCCATATGGGCACCAGTTCAAGTCCCAGTGCTCCACTTCCTATTTAGCTCTCTGTTAATGCAACTGGGAAAGCAGTGGAGGATGGCTCAAGCGCTTGGGCCCCTGCATGCACATGGGAGACCTGGAGGAAGCTCCAGGCTTTGGCATGGCACATCTATGGCCCTTGCATCTATTTGGGGAGTGAACCAGAAGATAGAAGATCTCTTTCTCAAACTGCCTTTGAAATAAATAAATAAATAAATAAATATCTTTTAAAAAATCTGGGGACTGATGTGGTGCAGAGGATTAAGCCACCACTTGCGACACTGGAGTCCCATTTCTGAGTGCTGGGTCAAGTCCTAGCTGCTCCTTTTCCAATCTAGTTTCCTGCTAATGTGCCTAGAAAGACAGTGGAGAATGGCCCAAGTGCTTGAGCCAATGCAACCCATGTGGGAAACGCACATGGAGTTCCTGGTCTCTGCTTCAGCCTGGCCCAGCCCTGGCTGTTGCAGCCATTTGTAGCAGTGAACCAGCAGATAGAGGATCAATCTCTCTCTTTCTCTGACTCTCTGTCACTCTGCCTTTCAAATAAATAAGTGTTTAAAAAATATTCAGTGTGGTAGAAAGCAAAGTATGCACAAAGCACGTTTGTTCCCAACCAAAAACAACTAGTTTTTTTTTTTTTAATTGACATGAATGACTAGCAATCAATCGTCATTCATACTTGGGCACCGTGGTACATACTTTTTCAAAAATTAGCAAAGTGACCAGGTTTACCTCAAAAAAATTGATAGTATTTGTGACTCACAATAAATCTGAGCTTTTAAGCAGAAATGAAAATCTTGGAAAATCTGTGTCCACAGTTTTGCAATACTTAGACATTTCACAGGAGATGGGTGGTAACAACTATTATGCTTTGATGTAAGGAAATATGTCAATGTTTGGAAGCTCTCCACAACTCAATGAACCAAGATTTTCCGAATGATCCAGGCAGGATGCTGCTACAAAATCACGCACATGCAAAAAATGCTTCAAAAGTGCAAGGCAGACAAATGGGTTGAGCTGTGACAGAATAGGAGATTCCACATGGCAGCTAACCTATAAAACCTGGCCATTTTCAAATTATGGTGAGGTGTCAAAGCACATTATCCACAATTATTTGACATGATGGTTAGAACACGCCCATCTTTTCCAGCTTTACATTTTTGTAGGACTAGATTTCTTCAGATGCTTTACCGAAACAATGCATGCTGCCAGACTGAACACACCATTCAGATATAGGAATCCAGCTGCCTCAGGTAGACACGGAGGTTTACAAAAAAGGCAAAAACAATGCCACCTCATCTGACAATATTTTTTGTCTTGCAAAAGATCACTGTTTTTCATTAAAATATGCTATTTACGTTAACAAGTAATCCCTGTATTATTTTTTAAATTAAGTAACAGACATATAAAAATTCCCACTTTAACTTGGAATATGGTAAATGTTGATAGGTATAACCCATCTAAAACAAAAGTCTTTGGGATCCTCAATAACTTTTAATAGAATAAAAGGATACTGAGATAAAAAAAAAAAAGTTGAAAACTGCCATCATATAACGTTTCTAATATACAGAAGCATTTTAAGAAAAGAAAAAACAAAGTTGCACAACAGGATAAAAGGACATGACTTACCCCAAAAAGGCCTCATTTACAGCTTCCAAGAATTTAGGCCAGAGGATTTCCTGAGGCTCATGTCCATGGTAGATAAGCAAAGCCTCTACCAGTGGTTCAAACTCTGGCAGAGTAACAAGTGGGATGCAAATTCGTGATAGGGACATTACTCGTTCGGGAGCCATTCTATGGAAGAAATAAAAAATAGTTGTCCAAATCTGAGCGCCACACTTAATTAAGACAACATCTTCATGCTGGAACAGGTCCTTTGTTTTGCACTTAATATACACTGTACCAATTTCCTCTTCTATCCTTGCCAGTAATATTCTCTATTTTTATTTCTTGATAATTCTAGTGGTCAAAAAGGGCCATTCCATTGCTTTAACTTGCATTTTCCTGGTAACTTGAAAGACTGTATAATTGCTTGTCACCCACTGGCATTTTCTCTTGAATTTGTTTCTAAATTTACGTTCTACTCATGCATCTAATAAATACATATGGATCTTTCACTATATTCAGGGCTCTGTTTGAGGTGCTAGTGACACAGAGGCAAAAGATTACAGAGAAATGACACAAAGACAGGTGATACCAAGTGTCATGCTTAACAGGAAAGCACACTGTGGGGCTAAGGATGTCCAGAATCTACTCAGAGGATAGCATTTAGAAAGACAGAGAGAGAGGCAGGCGCCATGGCTCACTAGGCTATTCCTCCACCTGCAGCGCTGGCACCCCGGGCTCTAGTCCCAGTTGGGGCACCGGATTCTGTCCCGGTTGCTCCTCTTCCAGTCTAGCTCTCTGCTGTGGCCTGGGAAGGCAGTGGAGGATGGCCCAAATGCTTGGGCCCTGCACCCGCATGGGAGACCAGGAGGAAGCACCTAGCTCCTGGCTTCGGATCGGTGCAATGCACTGGCTGTAGTGGCCACTTTGAGGGTGAACCAACAGAAAAGGAAGACCTTTCTTTCTGTCTCTGTCTAACTCTGTCAAAGAGAAAAAAAAAAAAAAAGGAGAGAGAGAGACAGACAGAAATCTTCCATCCACTGGGTTACTCCCCATTGTCCATTGTAATGGACAAGGCTGGGTGACATCGAAGTGGAGAGCTAAGAACTCAATCCAGGTGGCAGGGACTCAACTCCTGAGCCATCACCTTCCAGGGTCTGTACTGGCAGGAGGTTTGAACAGGAGCCAGAGTGAGGAATTGAACCCAAGCACTCTGATGTGGGAGGCGAGCCTCTTAACCAGCAGGCTAAAACACTTCCTCTAGAAGGTGACACTTAAGCAGATATCTGAAGGAAGCATATGAACAGACCATGGACATAGCCTGGAGAAGAGTGCTGCAGGCAAACGAAAAGCAAATGCAAAGGTCCTGAGTATTAGAACACAGCAGGGAGGCCTACGTAGCTCGACTACGGTGCGCCCAGGGGAAGAAGTTGGACAGGCTTTTGTTAACCATGGTGAGAACATTGTGCGTTTTTTAATTTTTTTTTTATTTAATGAATGCATTTTTACACTTTAGGAATACAGGGGTTCTTTCCCCCATGCTCCCCACCCAGCTCCCATCCCACTTCCCATCTCCTTCTTCATTATGGATCATTTTTAGTATGACTTTATATACTGAGGACCAACTCTATGCTAATCATAGATTTCAACAATTTGCCCCTACCTTGTGCGTTTTTAAAATTCAGTTTCACTTCTATCAACTTTTAGATAGAGCTACTTGAAATAGTGAAGTAGTTGTTGGAAGCTTATGAAAAATTGTGCTTTAGGAGGAGCTCTCCCACACCCATTTTCTGACCTCCAGAGGTAATCACTTTCCACTCTAATTCTTTAGACATTCAGCACAAACAACAGCATCAGTGAGACACCCACATCACCGTGCAGAAGAAAGAATATAGGACACTGCTGAAGTGAGCGTGAATAAGTACACGCAAGCACTTTGGGGAATATCTGGAAGCATCCTGCTACCATGTTTCTGACAGGTTAAGGAGACTTAAAGGAACTCTAAAAGCTACAGTCTATCCTGCTGTGTATCTTTACACAAATGAGCAAACAAATAAATCATAGTTTATTTACAGAATAAAATGTTATATGAGAGCTAAAAAATGAATGAACTAAACCTACATCATCCAAACACATGTCAAAAATATAATAATGTGGGGCTGGCATTGAAGCATAGCAAGTAAAGCAAGCATGGGGAGTGAACCAGTAGATGGAAGCTCACTCTCTCACTCTCTCTTCTCTCAGTAACACTTTCAAATAAGTAAATTATTTAAATACACACACACACACACACACACACACACAATGAATGAAGCAAGCTGCAAAAAGATATCCACAATATGTCATTACTTATATCAAATTTTAAAGCATGTACAACAGGGGCCACCATTGTGTTGTAGAGGGTTAAGCCAACATTTGTGAAGCCATCATTCCATATGGGTAACAGTTCAATTCCCAGCTGTTCCACTTCAGATCCAGCTCACACCCAATGCATTTGGAAAGGCAGTGGAAGAGGGCCTGGGTGCTTGGGTCCCTGCACTCACATGGGAGACCAAGAAAAGTTCCTGGCTCCTGGCTTCGGTCTAGCCCAGCCCTGGCCACTGCAAACATTTGGGGAGTGAACCAGTAGATGGAAGACTCATACACACACACACACACACACACTCTCTCTCTCTCTCTCTCTGCCTCTCAAGTAAATAAATCTTTAAAAGAAAAAAAAAGCAAACCATGTACAACAAAACATAATGAGGGAACTTCAAAAAGTTCCTGTAAAAAACAGAATTAAAAGGTAAGTTCATTTTGGTGTAAACAAGTTTAACAGCTTTTTCACACCATGCATTTTCCGTGAACTTTTTGAAGACTTCATATATATATGAAGTAAAAGTGTTAAAAAATGATAGGAAGAATCTATACCACCTTATTGGATGTGCTTTCCTGGGGAGGGGAAGAAGAAATGGAATGGGAAAAAAGAGGCTTTTCACAGCAACACTTATTTCTTTAAAAAGATTAAACTTAAATGCTAATAAAAATAGTAGGACTGCAAAATTTGGACAATGGGTATAGAGTTTTCTACTTGCCATAAATGTTTCATGCAGGCATGTCTTGGACATATTTCAGGTTTGGTTCTAGACCACTACAATAAATATTTTGGCTTCCAGTGCAAGTTATGTTTATGTTGTACTAAAGGCCATTTAAAACATTTTTATTAATATAAAAAGAACAAACTTTATGCATTCCATAGGTATAGTTTCAAGACAATCACACTTCCCTCACTCCCCTATTCCCCACCAATCTCCCCCCTTCTCTCCTCTTTCTTCATCTGTTTTTGCAGACATAATTTTAATCTACTCTATATTCACATGCTTGATTTGCCTCTAATCATAATATTCAACAAGTAAAAAGTAGGTAGACCACAGTTCCATAAACAAGTGATAAAAACGACAATCATCCCAAAAGGACAACTTCATTCCCATATGTTTTAGTAATCATCAGAGAAAATATGATATTTGTCTTTTTGAGACTGACTTATTTCACTAATCATAATGGTTCCCAGTTTCATCAACTTAGCTGCAAAGGGTAGGACTTCATACTTTTTATGGCTGAGTAGTATTCCATACTATATATATATATATATATATATATAGAGAGAGAGAGAGAGAGAGAGAGAGAGAGAAACATACAATTTTTCCCAGTCATCAGTTGATGGACATTTGGGTTGATTCCATATTTTAACTATTGTGAATTTAGCTGCAATAAACATGGGGGTATAAATAACCCAAATGCTGATTTCATTACATTTGGGTAAATTCCCAGGGGGATGGCCAGGTCATATGGTGGATCTATTTCCAGATCTCCAAGGACTCTCCATACAGTCTTCCACAATGGCTGTTACATTCCCAACAACTGGATTAGGGTACTTTTCCCCACATTCTCATTAGTATTTATTGTTTTTTGACTTGTGGATGATACCCATTCTAACTGCAGTGAGCTGATATATCATTGTGGTTTTTATTTGCATTTCCGTGATGGCTAGTGATCTTCAGCATTTTTTCATATGTCATCCTGAGAAAATTGCCTGTTCATGTCCTTTGTCCATTTATTAACTGGACTCTTTGTTTTGTTGTTGTTCAGTTTCCTGAGCTCTTTACAGATCTGGGATATTAATCCTTTATCGGTTGCATAGTTTGCAAATATTTTCTCAAATTTCGTTGGTTGCCTCTTCACCTTGTTGAGTGTTTCCTTTGCAGTGCAAAAGCTTCTTAGCCAGATGTAATCCCATTTGTCAATTCTGACTTTGATTGCCTGTGCTTCTGGGGTCTTTCCAAGAAGTCTTTGACTATGCCAATATCTTCCAGTTTCTCCAATATTTTCCTATAGTAATTTGATGGTATTGGATTGTAGATAGATGCTTGATCCATTTTGAGTTTATTTTTATATAAGATGTAAAGTAGGGGTCTTGTTTCATACTTCTGCATATGTAGATCAAATTTTCCAGCACTATTTGTTGAAGAGATTGTCCTTTCTCCAGGGATTAAGTCCAGTTCATTCATCAAAGATTAGTTGGCTATACATGAGTGGATTACTTTCTGAAGTTTCTATTCTGTTCCGTTGGTCTACAGGTCTATTTTTGTGCCAGTACCAGGCTCTTTTGATTATAAAAGCCCTGTAGTATGTCTTGAAGTATGGTATTATGATGCCTCAGGCTTTGTTTTTGTTGTTTAAAATTGCTTTAGCTAGATAGGATCTCGTGTTTCCATATGAATTTAGCATCGTTTCTTCCAGTTCTGAGAAGACTATCACTGGTATTTTGATTGGGATCACATTCAACCTGTAAACTGCTTTCAGTAGTATGGATATGTTGATTATATTATTTCTTCCAATCACAGTCATGGAAGATTTTCTATTTTTTATGTCTTCTTCTATTTCTTTCTTCTATTTCTAATTCTGTTATGCAATTTTCACTGCAGAGATCTTTCACATCCTTGGTTAAATTTATTCCAAGGTATTTAAGTTTTTTTTTTTTTTTTTTTTTGTAACTATTGTGAACGGGACACATCTTACAAGTTCTTTCTCAGCCATGGTATTGTATGTGCATACAAAGGCTATTGACTTTTGTGTGTTGATTTTATATTCTGAAACATTACCAAACTCTTCCAACAGTCTCTTAGTGGAGTCTTTTGGTACCCCTA